AATCTTATTCGTAGTCGAGTTTTTTTTAATGCAAATCCGTATAAAATTCGAAAACCGTCCATCTTCTTACCGGAATTGTTTAAGGACTACTTTCATTTCCTGCACTATTATGCGTAAAATACATTCTATACTAAGCCACATAAGTTTCATTTAGAAGAAGAGGAAGAAGATTTTATCGAAATTTGTACTTTCTACCGATTCTCGATTAAGTTAAGATTAGAAATGCTTAATGAAAGTAATGTTCAGTAGTCATAAGGATCCATTGAGATCCGTGAATAATGCAAATATAAAAATTGCCGCCAATATATAGCTTGAGTATCCCAAGATTCGATGCAAACTACGACATAGTTACATATATGATAAAAGGTTAAGATACCATGTACAATCTCAAAATATTCAATATATTCATCCAAAAAGCGAAATATAGTTTATGCATAACAATGATAACAGTGTAGCGGGAAAAACCATTCATTTTTTATATACAAAATATTTTAAATATTTAACTATTATACTTACAGTAATGTATAAGGTATAAGGTAAGTGCGAGAGAGAGGGTGAGAGAGAGAGGTAGGTGTGTGCAAGTATCTTCGAATGCGTTTTTGTTTTCTTATGAATAATTCATAACGCAATTGCGAACGATAGAATTGGGAAAATTATATAATCATTTGGCAATTTTGTTTTTGTTTTTGTTTTTGAAGCTCACACACATTCACAAAAAGATGCTACTCTTGTCGGGTGCTTTGCTTGTAGTTTTTTTTTTTTTTTTCATTTCTTGTGTGTGCTTCAACGATTTCTGCCCAAATTATTGAACTGAAGAAGAAAGTGAAAGTATTTTTTTTTGTTTTTTTTTTTGCTTTGTTATGTATTTTTGGTCAGCATACCGAGGGTTTCTATCTCAATTTGTATGAAAAAAAAAAAATAAAGAAGAAAAGAAAAATTTTGTAAAAAAAAAAAAAAAAGAAATATTTTTTCGTTTTTTGATTTGAATAAAAGAAATTTCTTGTTCTATACTTATTAGAATGACACGATTTTCATACACTTTTGTAATCAATTGCTTTTGAAGAGCAAACTGAAAAGATTACATTAAAGCACTCGCAAAATGAAACGAACATAACACATTAACCCATTCACTGCCAGCCAAATGTAAAGCATCGTGTCTTGGATGCCACGTTTTTATTCATCAATTTCAACTAGTAGCGGAAACTATTGGTTGATATCTCGTAGTCGGCAGTTTTCAGCTATCCCGTAAATGGCAGTGAATGGGTTAATGAATATGAATTTCAAAACTTAACATGCAATGTGGTTGGTAGACAACCATTTTTAAACATTTTTAAGTTATGACGTTAAAGCAATCAAACTGACGCCAGAAACCCGGTAACAACAAAAGGGTATTTAATTTTTATTTATTTTTTATACCTGATCTTCATTTTGAGAAAGTCTTTAATGATCTAAGAAGCCATAAAGATATGTATCAGTATGCGACGTGCATACGCATTCCATATAATTGTCATATCTGCCCTTAATGCTTAAATTTAAGCGAGTTTTGATGAAATAATTATTTTTATATTTTAGTAAAAGTTTGCCGTAGTAGTTGTAATCACGGTAGTAGTAGTAATAGCAGTAATAGCGCGATATCACTAGAGTTACGAGTTTTGGTAGCATTTTTATACCTTACACCTCCGAGACCTAAATAGGTGCAAAATATGATCGCATCCAAACTAAATAAAAATACAGTTATTTTATATGTCACAGTAACATCTGTGTGGATTTTTGTCAAAAACTATTACATATAGCAACTTTTTTTCTATATAACTTTTTTCAAACGAAGCGTTAGAGGGAAACTGATTTAAAAGCATTGGTCTTTGGACCAAAATACACTATAAAATTTCATGAAAATCTCTTCAGAATTTGACATCAATCGGTTGACAATAAACAGACAATAGACGGATGTACAGACAGATAAGGTTAAAGTGTTCAAGAAATGTTTGTATGTCGATAATAGACGGTTTAATAAACAGTGAATCTATTTCAAGTCCGTTTAAATGTTACTTTCATCCGCATAAACATGACGATATAGGGTATCAGTAATGGGATTGATATTTTTATGTTTTCCTCGACTACGATGTTTTTTTTTACGTTTTAATAAATGTATTAGCTTTATTCTCATAAGCATACCTATATATCATTTTTGGTTTAAATGATTTTATGAAGGACTAACTTGGCTTTTTGTAATTAACTATACATATATATATATATATATGAAATTAAAACCATAAAATAATGTTGGCTCGAGTTAGCTATTAAACAAATGCCTTTGAAAAATCAATGTTAACGGTATCGATATGCGCGATAAACGGCAGATGACCTATTACGATAATAATTAATTAGATAAGACTGATAATTAATAAGTATGCCCTTGAAATTGATGATTATAGCTTATTGAACTAAATTTTTATGCAAGACAATCGAATCGAATAAAAAACAAATTATCAACAAAATTACGTCATGCCACAACGATGACAATGACGGTAGAAAAAACAGTTGACATCCAAGAGTATAACAATGCATATAATGAAATCAGGGATAAAAATTACAAATAACTTTTATGGTCGTTTATGTATGTATGCGTCAATTTGCAGATAAAGTAAAAAATATAAAATATAAACAAAACCGAAACAGGTAATAGAGTCGCTTCAAACCAATGACAACATAGTGAGTACAACAAAAGTGAATAATTGCGTAAAACAAGTAAGCGTTAGGCTAAAGCCAAACAACAACCAGACATGAGAGACAAAACGGAACAAATCATCACCATTTTTAGAGTGAAGACGTAAATATATATATATATATATATGAAAATGTCGGTAAAGCAAAACGGAAAACACTCTCGATTTACGGTAGAGTGTTGTGAGTTTTGATTGTCTCGTTGCACTGGATATTCAACTAACAATGCAACATAAGCAAGCAACGGCTCAATGCTTTTTAATGTTTATTTTTATTTATTTTTTATATATATAGATATACATACATGTACATATATATATATTTTCTTTTTCTTTTTTTTTTTTGTCAACCAAACCAAGTTCTTTTATTTACAATTTTTTCTTTATTTTTTTTTTTTTTTGTTATTGTAATTGCTGCCGCTTTCAGTGCCTATGGATGCATAAATTTCATAAAACGCAGTAAAACCAACAGCAACCACTACTACTGAAAATTTTATTTAATTTCACTTTCATTTACCGTTAAACTATAAACAATATACGAATATGCATGCATGTCCGCAAGACAAACACATCCACGTACATATGCATAAAAAATTGTGGTATCAACAAAGGTAACTAAAGCTTGCTTCACTTACGGGCAGCCAAACACAAAGGCAAAGCTGCAAGTGAGCGCTTCAGTGTATAAAGATAGGCGCCCGTATAATAACAAATGTTATAATAATAAAAACAAAAAAAAAAAAGAAACAAAAATAGTCGTTGAGTTTGCTCAAGTATCCAACAAGAAATGTAAACAGACTGATACCAAAAATCTTTGAGTTTATTTGATGCGTTATAGACAAGCGACTCCAAGACTATGACTAATTTGACATCTGAGGGCGTTTAGTTCAACTTGACACTTTTCTGTCACCGATATTCTTTCCACATACATATGTTATGTGTAAAGATTTTAAAAAACCTATACTACAATTTATCAATTATGTCAAATGCGTCATTGCTTGCGCGACAATCAAAAATACTTATCACAAATTGCGCGCTCCAAAATTTCACGTCCTTTTAGCTACGTTTATGTGTGGAGATTTCCTTTTATATATAAATTATTGATCGGCGATTAATTTTGAATCAATTTAAAAACACTTTTCTGTCTGTCTGTCCGTGTTCGCCATATTATTCGTATTGTAATTCGGACAAATGTAAAATCTTGTAAATTCTTGACACAGATAACAAGGCTGACATTTGAAAAATTATGTTTCAACAGCTGTTCATGTAGTGGGGTGTATTGAAACCCAGAAAACAAATATGATTTATATCATAGCCAAGTTTAACACATATTCCGATTAAAGGTCTTTTAAAAAGTACGGAATTCAGGCATTCATGGAGATCCTATTTACAAGAAACCTAAAATCCACCTTAGATCAAGTCAAAGATTAATACAGAGCAGCTTATTAAATCACTTGGAAACAAAGGCACTATGCATTACTTATAGAATTTATTAAGAGATTATTGCGTTATGATCTTATGTATCATTAGGTGAAGCTCTCAATACTGTTTGCCGAATTCACTAAGCATTTTAGTCAGTTCGAACACTTCTTTAAACGTAAAACGGAGATGGCGCATCATATCACACACTCACACAAAAACTTGTGCGTTTACTCGATAGAACTCATGCTCACTGTCATTTATCCTGATCATGAAAAATGGTTTACTTTGATCTTGATTTGTTTCAAAAGTAATAAGTTTGAGTGGGAGGTGCTTTTATTACTGTACTTGATCGTCGGTTTGAAGCCTTTAACAGAGTTTCGTTGTCGTTTGTTGAATAAAGAAATCGCTTGTACCCTCAACTCTATATATTTAACTAAATGAAGGAATATTGTGGGAATATTGTTCGATCTCAATCACACACGCAATTAATCGTACAAGTAAAGAGCCAGGCAAAGGAAAGTATTAGGATCCCTCATAAGACTTTATCTTCCCATCATTTAGACTCAGTTGGACAGTAAACCAAATTTGCAATTCTTTCTTTCCTATTAGTACCCATCCCAGGTATGGACTTTTAAAAAACAAAGAAAACCGAAGGGGAAAACAGATATAACAAATAAAATTAAAAGTATTTCAAAGATTAAATTTTAAACGGCTTTTCCCGGATTAGTCTTTTTTAAGGAAAAAGTTATAAATTCGCATATTTTTAGAAAATCGTCAAATCCATTTTCAAATTTAATATTTTTCAACTTGTTATATCAGTGAATATATAAATAAGTGCTCTTTAAACAATTCACTTACCATCAGTATCGAGTAATCCTTATTGGCAGAACAAGCCGCAGTTACAGGTACAGTGGTATTTGTTAATAAATGAAAATGACGTTTTTGCACTGGATAACGTGTTGATGTTGAACCATACGATAAGGCGGAAGCGGAAGTATTGTTGCCATTCAACAACAACTTTGAAATGGTTATAGCACCGTCATCGTTAAACGCACCATCGTCGTCACCAACAACATATTGTCGGTTACTTATCTTATTACAATTGCCGTTGTTTTGCAGAAACAGTTGACATAGAAATTTTTGATTACGATAACAACGCGTACCGACTGCCACGAATAATCCTTGACGACCAGAAGTACCGAGACAAGCCATTTTTTTCTTACCTATACTTATATATATACATATATATATACATATATATATATATATAAATATATATATAGTGTGATTATTCGATCCGGAAAATTAATGTAAAAATTTTTCTATGCTATACTATCATTCACATACAATCACTTTTTATAAGGGTTAAACATTCGCAATAAAATACACTTTACTCTGTTACGTCTTACGGCTTGATTTGTTATTCTAATTCTTGAACTTTTTACGCAAATTGTTAGGGAAAATTTACAATTTTTTAACATAAAACCGTTAAAATCTCATTTTCTCTTTTAAATAATTAAACTTTAGATCAGGCATTCACGCTTTCTTTTCGTTTCACTCTCTTCGGTAACTGACACTTGACACTGAGTTCAAGCGTATGATAACGTATATTAAGAAAATTAGATGAAAAACATTTAATAAAATTTATAATTTCACTTATTTAAGATGACGGTGTAAAAAACGAAACGCTTCTGTTTGGCTTCAATGCCTCGGGCAGAGTGATTTCTACTCCAGACTGAAAGTGTCCGAAGAGCTTACCCCAGCCAACCAACCACGCAAATATTCAAATCCTCAGATAACTCAGCTTAATATAAAACTTAGTTGAAATATAAGTAAAAGCGTCTGCGCGCAGCGCATGATACTATTTTGCGCTGTGGTGAATTTTATTCTACCGGCGCGCACACACACACACACACACGTGCACACTCTCGTTAGTAAAGCTGTTTGCATGCAAACATCTGTACGTGCACCGAAGATGGTGAGTTTTCACTTTTTAAACATGTTGAACCTGGTTTTTCAAATATATCTGCTTTATTCATACATCCTGAGATCCATTATGTGCAGAATCGCTAAGATTAACATAACAATTATTCCATCTAATTACCTTCACAACTTGCCATGCGTTATTGGTATAGTTTTTCAATAAATATTTTTGGCGGTTAGACAAATTCTTTCATCTCTACGCGACTTTCATTCACAATATTTTACATAAGTTTTTATGAAGTATTTTATTATTGTATTTAAATTTATTAAATAATAATAGGAACTTTGTAAGAATTTTATTCTATTTTTTTTGACGTAATAACCATATGATGCTAAGCAAGACAATGCCGCCAAATCGGTTATAACTACGCAAATTAAGAGAAAAAGTTTATATGCAACATATACAATAGTTACTGGCTCGAAAACATAAACAGCTGCGATTTTATAATGTGCTAAGTTATAAGGAAAATATAGAAGAAAACATGTCGCGTAAATTGCTGACTTATTTGGAAACTTTAATTAATGATGTGGAGAGATTACTGCCCTTTATATTTCGTCAAGGGGGGCCACCGCCTGGTAATTGGCTTTTTAAGCGAAAAAATATTGTTTCCATTTCTTTACTGTGAAGATCATGTTCACATTGTTTTTCAGCTTTAAGCTTTGCTGCTCAACCTAGTTATTGGACTATCAATAATGACAGTAGATCACACAGGCCATATTCTTTTAAAGATTTGCTTGGGGATGGATTTTTATGGGCTGTACCAAAACATCGACGCACAATTGAGAAACGCTTGAATCGTAAATTCGGTTATCCGGAATACAACTGGAAACTGCTTAAAGTTAAAACGCATTTACGCACTTGTAACCATTGTGGGCACGATTATGAGGCCGGTTTATTATGCACCAATTGCTATAATAAAGTGCGCGAAGAAACCAAACAAATGCAAGAGAAGATACAAGAAGAGTTGGGTCTGGAACCCATTGAAAAAGACGTTATAGTATTGTACGAAGGTGAACGTAAAGAGCAGCCGGCGGAGTTCCTAAATGGTAAGCGTATTGTGGAAATGCCAAAACTAAGACCAATGTGGTTCACCAAAAATTTACTGCAAAAAACTACACAACAACCTGCAACTACCAAAGAAGTCAAACCCAATGATTTAGCTTAAGAGAATTACATGGATATCAAAGGAAGATATTTATATGCTTCTTCTTTATATAAAAACTGAACTTTTATTACATGTAAATGTTAAATTCTCGCCGTTTAGTTTTTTAATAAAACCATTGTTAAAATCGGCAGCAGTCATGGTTTTTTTACCTTCTAAACGCAATTGATGAACTTCGATATGTGTGCGTTGAGCGCACAAGACCAATAAACATTTTAGTTCTTTAGAGAAAACAAAACTACCAGGCTGTTTATAATCTGGAAAGTTGTTGGATATTACGTCCGTAGCATTACTTGATGGAAGGCGTACATCTACTAAGTTTACGTTTTTTCCCAAAAATTTTGTATTTAACATTTTATAACCATACAAAGCACGATATCGATTATATAACTGCAAAGATGACATCCTTAACCAGTTCGCTTCCGTAAGTCGATCGGTAATTTTTGGAGCTAAAATACTGAATTATCTCAAACCTGTGCTCATTGAAAGTTGATCAGTACTTGCCATAAGTCACTTTATCCTCATTTTGCATCTCTACTTTCTCGAAGCTTTGAGGATAAGTTCTGATTACGTTCATTAATAATTTAGCACCCTCTTCAGCCAGTTGTGTATGCAATTCGGGCATGAGCACGTACGGTTTGATAGGAACACAGCATTGAGCAAAGACCTAATAAGCTCAGACTAAATTTTGTGCTCGCTTGAAATTTATTTGTATTAGTGAACTTACACCACCCACATCAAAGCGCTTGGGTTCAATTCTCATAATGCTGACGCCAGTCTCCGTATCACCATTCATTATAGCATGAATAATTGGAGCTGCACCCCGCCATCTTGGTAGCAAGCTAGCATGCACGTTAATCACGCCCCTATACAAAGATTTATTCAAAATTGAATTCTCATCGTCATAAAATGTAACAAAACAAGGTGTATTAAAGATATATTGAAGATATTAAAAATCGTATTATTTGGAACTTACAAAGGAAATGCTTGGATTACTGAAGTCGGTATTAAATGGCCAAATGAAACTACTACACCTATATCGTAAGGCTGGCAGTCACCAGGCGAAACAGGCCATTTGTATAACGGCAGGTTATGCTGTTGGGCGTACTCTTTAACACAATTAGCAGGATTTTTAAACGAAGTCACCACCCCTAAGTCTCCATGTCCGCTAAATGCTCAAAAATTAATTTTTTCATTTCTTGGTTGTAAAATTAACTTACTTACCTACAATTCTTGTGTAAAATTTTAAGTGTTGGTAAGGAAAAATTATCGGTGCCGAAGAATAACAATTTTACTTCCTCATTATTTGTTTTTATACCATAATTGCGAAAACTGAGAAATTTTCTTTTATATTTATAAAAATTATTTAAAATTTTTAAAAACATTATCAGCTGATAGTGTCTTGTCACTGTCACAGCAAGAAATGTTTCATAATAAAAATTGCTTTGCTATTTCAGGTGGCATACGTTACGATCGCAATGGAAGAATTTCTTGTTGTAAAGAGAAATTTTTGTATTCATTATTTATAAATTATACATTCTTTACGAAAGAAACACAAAAACTTATTTTTCTATCAACAAAAAGGTTTTTAAATCATATAGATTAACTAACTAAAAGCGGCAATAAACTTATTCACCTGACCATTTCTTCTTCTTCTAACATTCATCAAATCAATAAGAGATGATTCTCTGTGCTGTATACTGCACAGTGAAGTAGTCAACATACAATTGTTATGCATTATAACATTAAAACATTCAAATTAAAATTTAAACACATTCGAATTAAATAAATATAATCGAAGTATAAATGAGTAGACAAAAATATAAAACATATGCAGGGAAACTATATACGCCCCATCACTTGAAACTCTAAAAAGTCGTCTGTAAACCCTATGTACTATGTATTTGACAGTAGCAAAGGAAGCAATCTGGTACATTGTCAGTTTTCCTTTTCTCTGCGTTGAAAAACGCTAATCGATTTTGGATTACTTTTCATTGTTTTTTGTTTTTTTTTTTCTAAGCGAAATTTTCTTTATTATGATTTAATTGCTCGGAAAAGCTCAGATAAGAATATATTAGCAATTCCTTCAATAATTTTGTAAAAAATGGAGAAGAGTTCAAGCAGCGAAACTGGCCAAAATTTGGCATCTCAATACGCTTTACGTGTGGCTTTGCAAACTATGAAAGAAAGGTGTATGTACCAACAGAAAAGGCTAGCGGAAGTCGAAGATGATAATCAACAGCTAAGGGAGCGTTTAACACAAATTAATAAACCAAATAGCAACAATTTGCAGGCTTATAATGGCGGCGGGGTGGCGGAAAATTTTCAGTTACGTTTGCAATTGTCCGAATTGCAACGTCAAAATGAACAATTAAATGCTCACATAAACATGGTATCGGCTGAAAACCGTAAACTGTGGTCGCGCCTTTCGCAAATGACAAAGGAACAATCAACTACAAAACTTAAAGCTCAAGATGCCGTGCTCATAAGCAATGATGAGACCACGGCGATGCAAACGGGTTTGGCAACACAAAATTTAATACGTTCGAAAACTTTTACCCAGCACTCACCTAACCCGAATCTGCGTCATAAATTAATTACTGCCGATAGTAGTGATATGGAAATGTTAGATATCAGTTTGGAAGAGGAAGCACTCGAAGCTCACGAAGTCGAAAATTGTATAGGTCAACAGGGGAAACAGATAATAGCAGCTAATATTTCACCGGAGGAATCCGTAGGCTTTGGTTATTTGAACGTTGAAGTTCCCAATGTTGATGGTGGTGAACATGATTTTAATTTAGAAGCCAAAAAATGCATAGAAGGCCTACAGGAAATGCGTCGCGAGGCTATGAAACAACAACAAGAGTTAAGCTCTGTTTATAATTTTTTGCAAAATAAAATTGGTAATTGGTGTACATCTATATATATATATGTATGAGATTATAATTTTTGTGTAATAAATTAATTGGTGATTTCAGCCTTAAGACCTTGTGCGGAGTGCGCTAAACGCATAGAAGAGAAACCTGAAATGGCTGATAAGAGCTTGGAAACCGACGAAAGTCTTAGTGACTTTAAACCTTATGCTGCTAATTATGGCATCAGCAAAGAACAAAATCGAGAGATAGACAAAACTTCTTGTAAAACATCAACACAAGATCAGGCAGGAAATAATCATCTTAATATAGTACACGAAAAACTATTGGCGGACGAGCAAGACAAAATATGTCCTATGTGTGGGAAGACCTACGATTCGCGCATTTCGTTCGATGCGTTTTGCGCTCACGTTGAGGAACATTTCCGGGAAGATATCATTGATTTGGAACATTTGAGTAAGGAACACAATTTTGAATTAATATCACATGCCGTTGGCGATTTCTGACACAATAATAAACGCATTTACTTTTCTTCGGAATTGTGATGGAATAAGGAGTGAAAAAATGATGAATCAAATTGGAATTTTTATAAACATGCAAGCCTTATCTTTGTAAGATATTATTATATATTTTGAAATAATTGAAAAATATTTTTATTTTTTTTTTGGTTTAATACTATATTGTCTTCTTTTTATGTCAAAAAAATACGGGTTTTCTTTATAACCTCTTAAGTAATTTGATTGAATTGACAAAAAAACAAAAAAAAAAAAAACAATTGGAGTAATAATAATAAGTTAATCATTTTTAAGTAAATAAATATACAAAATATATAGATAGTTTCTGATCTTCCTATTCTTTTCTACTTATTTACTTTTCTTATCAATTTCAGACATTAATAGTTTAATTATCCTGAAAATAAATAAAAAAAAAAAAAAAAATGAAATGCATGGGAAATAAACTCTTTTTCTTCTTATATTGGAAATAATTTATGTAGAAAAAATCGGTCAAATGAACTACTAATAGATCAATTAAATATAGTTTCATACAATTTTAAGGGGATTTGTAATAAGATTTAATAAGAAAATGCGCACATAACTTATTCTGCAAATATGTCGAATCATTGCTACGTCTATCTATTTCTATCATCAGTGTATGATGTGCAGTAAAGAGCAATGCCGTACAATGAAATGTGATGTAGTTTCAGGTTTGGCAAACCAACGTTTGCCGTCTGTAAAAGAAGACCACAAGTTCGTTTTACTTGCGTTTAATTAAATCAAAGCTTTTGGTACACGTGAAATATCTTATCTTTCATTACCTCCTTCTTCATTACTTCATTCTTTTTAAATAACAAAATAAATATATTTTCTTCTGTTTAGCATAGAAATTATGCGCCGGCATTTCATATGGAAAATCCGATTAATTTACTGACAATAGGGGTTTAAAGTTAAAAAAAACTTAATTTCTCATCGCGTGCATGGTCATAATAGAAATTTTGACAAGCTTAATATAGGGGCTGGTTTTTCATGGAAGACGGGCAGATGATGAAATTTTTGATGAATTCAATAAGATGGGTACCGATCAGGACGATCAAAAGCACATATATAACTAACGGGGCGATTCTTTGACGAGTTATTTCGTTTAGTTTCAATCATTTTATATTTTACTATGAGTTGATTGAAAAGTTTAATTCCGTCTCTTATGCAAGTTCTATATAACGAGTTGTTTATATATCACGGAAACTTGATCGCATTGCTCTTGTGTCTAACCGCCACACGATATGAGTGCTACGAAACTGCTTATCCATGCACATACTTTTATGTAGACGGTATGAATATTATGCTGAATTGGAGAATAGCTTCAATTATTTCTTAGCTCAAAGTTGATCTTCTATTATTATTTAAATTTATCATTAGCAACTACAAAGTCATAAGCCAATATGTATATATGCATATATGTATATAATGTGTACAGAAAGAACCAAAGATTATTCAAATGATCATTCACCGCCATAGTAATAGTCAGCTGCCCTTATCAGACGAATTCCGGTATTCAAGAATGAGGGAAATTCAAGAAGTCATTAAAGGATCTGAAATCCTGCGGTAGCGCAAAGAACGGCGAACGAAGACTTGAATATGCTTGCTATAAATAAAAAGATAAAAGGTTCCTAGTTCGGCCTAGAAAATTATAATCATTGGAACAGCAATTGTGTGTGTGTTTGTGGCTGAAAGATTTTATAGCTACGGATGAACAATGTAAATTTTAAGTAGTCATAGAAAGAGCATTTCAAAGACGCATTTAGAGCGAAAACAGAGAAACGTTGTCGCTAACTCTCAGATTACAGACAAACCGTGTAAGGACGATCAGTTTAATAAATCCAAGTTATCCAAGTTATATGAGGGGCAACCCGAGGTTATTTCAATATATTAGTGAAGCTATGGCCTAAAGGGCGCATGCGCAGTATTATAAATATTTATAATTTTTTTCTACCATGTTCCATATAATAAACTCTTACCGTCTTCATTGATTTCGATTCGCTTTTGTTGTCCTTCCTGTCACTCGCAATAGCAATATTTTATAAAACTTTCGTACATTTATCTTAGCTGAATGGTGTTCAAAACTCATCAGAGATAAGTGAAACTGAAGATATTGCGCAACTACTATTTAAAGGAACAAAAAAAGAAAAAAAAAAATCAAAAATTTACATAAATAGTACAACGAAATTAATTGGAATAACTTTTGTCCCACTCTGCGATCTACATAAAAATCCATTGGTAATCCTACAGAAACCCCATGGTAAACAATATCTGTCCTCTCAGTTTTGAGAATTTAGATGTCATAATTTCTTTCTATTGTTATTATTGTGTTTTTTGTTTTTTTATTATATTGGTGGTACTAATAAATACATAAATAAACAGTAAATCTAAATAGGTTTATACTCTAATTAAGTGAATATTAAAAAAGGAACAAAAAAAACCCTAATAATAATTTGTAAGTTCATAAATAATAAAGATAAGGGCCCGTATAGCTTCAGCAAATTCAATAAAAAAGAATTGTTGTAACGGATAAAAGTCGAAACTTTAGACACTCGATACTTATCTTATTCTATAAGTCCTATTTCGGGTGTAGAAAGCTCTTCCCCGGATTTAACTTTTACTTTAAGGTCGATATATGATTACGCTTCGTCTTTCTGCCCGTGAGAAAAAGGCAGGGAATAGATTTCTCCTGCCAAAGCGTTTGCAATAAACGGGAAGAAGCTTCGGAGGCCTTTTGTAAAGTATATAGACATTTCTGATTAATACATCAAAAGCTGAATCGATTCTTTTTCCATCCAAAAGCAAAAAAAAAATACTTGGGGTTTTCGTCTATTACTCCCACTCTGCAGCAAACGCCACGATAGGAATTTTTGATTTCAATCGGCCACGCCCAAAGTAGATCATATTGAATGTCGAAACTTCGCTTTCTCGCCTGTTTTCTGGGATAAAGATAGTGGATATTAAAGATGTGGTCATAGGTGTATACAGTTTTTTTCTTAAAATTGACCCTTCAAAAAGTTGAAGCTTATGCATGAATCTTCTCCGTTTTTGTTTGTTTTTTTGGTGTGACTAATCATCCAAGGGTTGTCCCCCCCCCCGGGAGAAGATAGGAAAAAGAAAGAAATAAATTGCATGGTGGTGGCAGTCTAATGGCCATGACCCCATTTGGTAAGATTACGCCCATGGCCGTCGCAGCGTTCACTATAAGTCCAACCAAAAACTCTTCCGCACTGAGATTGCAACACACGAACATTGACTTGATAGTCACGATTCTTAGCTATTCGGCTGCTCAAGCGGTTGCCTCATGCATGGCGAAGAAAACGAGTTTAAACTTTTCTAAATTACTCGTCTTTTATGATTTCAGGTCGAAACTCAGTATCGGCAAATATACAATCATTAATAGTCTTAGTAGTAAGTTGATTAATTTCAGTCTTTAGTTGACGATTCGGTGATCAAACCAATTTCGAATAATAAAATTAATATGTTTCCTTGCTTTCGAGTGCAAGCATTAAATGATGGCGCCTCATATGGAAATTCCAATTAATTTATTAATTATAGGGGATTACAAAAAAATTTACTAATATTATCTTTTATCGTAAAATTAGTCATAAATGAAGCGCCACTTTTGTCACTACATTTCATTGAGTGATTTTTCAATGTTTTAAAAGTGACTGGCGATCGATAAGTCATTCGCACTATTCTTCTGACCTAAATACGCTATACAATCTTTACGTATTAGTATCTTAGCGACCCTGAAACAATATTAGTCTGCAGTGCAATTTTTTTTGCAAATAAATCAATTCAAACAGACCCGCCAGAGCAGAGAAATATTATCGCTATCTAAAATGAGTGAATTACTTTTTCAATGTCCTCACGAAAAATACAACCTTAAAAGAAAATTGCAATATATATCAACATTAGACCACCTTTTGAAGAATTTTGCAGTTAGAGATTACTGGGATTACTTTAAAGATTGCGGGAATAAGGTGAACAAACGAGCCCCATTCTCAAAGCATTTGCTTTCTTTGCTTATATTGTCCGCCTCCTTGCCAAGTAAGCACAAGAAACATGTAGACTGCATGTAGACCTAAATAGAAAAGGTATCCCGACTTTAGTTGCTTGAAGTTGATGCCTATAAAAAAAAAAAAAAAAAAAATCAATTTTTCTACATATCCACGTGCCAATGAAACGACATACATTTCTTCTTTGATGTTGATGCTCGTCTTTATCTTAAGTTTATAATAAGGCTTGAAAGTCGATTGCATCTAATTTAAGATAATTCATTTACCGGCTGTTAATACGGTTGATGACGGTTGCGTAACTTAAAATAGACATGAAATTTTAAAATAAATCTTTATTAAACTCCTAGCAACACATACGTAGTTTGACGAAATTTGTCTCTGACGAAATTTATTTATATATATATATGCATATATATATATAGTCACTAGTTAGCGGTTATAGTAAATTTTCAATTGTTTATTTCTTAACAAGTATGTACATATATATTAAACATACTTTATATTAGTTAAGTATCACATTCTAAAAGCGTTTAATTATGACGGTCTTTATGCTTACCTACTCGCTTCAACTAAGCTTATGAGTTTAAAGTTTGAAATTAAGAAGAAGAGAAAGACATAATGAATACGAATTAATCGTTAAGAGAACCGAAAAATCCAAATGCACTTATAACAAACAACAAGTTTGGAAGAAAGTCTTCAAACATTTAAATAATTTAGTAAATCATGTCAGCTTATGTTTTGTTATAACTATATCGGCAAAGAGTGATTCTCGTGTATGCTTACATCCTCCAGAGAGGTCAGGCAAGAAAAAGATATAATGGCGTGCCCAATCGGTAAGTTGTATGCCTTTATGCACTTGAGATTTGAACCTGAACTTGAGATTTTCACCCACTCGACTACTCGTGCGGATAAGATTCGTTGTTGGGCAAAAGCATAGTGAATCGTATTGAATTTCATTCAAAAATCTCGAAAACTTAGGATCTGCAGATCAGCCGCAAGTCCACGCGGTAAGATATCAGATAAAAAAACAAACAGAGGATGATTCTGAACTCATTGGTGTAGCAATAGGGTAGACCCTAAAGTGTCTTGTATCCTAGTGTAGGGTTTAAAGTCTTCAACCGATTACGGGAAGTAAAAAAAAGTGATAAGAGTAAGCAGAAGATCACGTGGATCTTATAGAATTATTGGTGTAATAGGAAGAAGTAGCGGCAGAGGAGTATGCAACAGATTGTCGACGAAGTTATGCAACAGAGCGGCATAGCAATGTATTGTCTATGAAATTATACTGAAATTTGCTGTTTTTCTGCATTTTTTTTTTTTTTTGGGGGTTTTCGAATCTTTTACTACTTAAATTAGTCCCTTTTTCTCAAATTTACTTTGGGGACTACTATTGAGAATATATCTGCCAATTTTCGACATATTCTCTGTAAACTTAAAAGCTCCTATAAGATGCAAATAATGGGCAAAGACTAAACATAATTAAAGTGATTCAGATTTTTTATGTCCTTTAGTAGGGCCCTTGATTAGTATTTCAATCCGATCAATCAGATTGGACAAGAAATTTGAATCGATTTACTTTGTGAATTTTGATTTCCGGAAGATTAATCAAATTCTGGAGTATCGAATGTATACAAATAAGTTTTATTTTTATTTGATTAGCTCTAAAATTTTTAGAGGATTTTCCGATTTTTTCTCTGAATTTCTGCGAGACTTCACAAGGAAACTGCGGATAGGTAGGTAGAAAACAAATATATATATATATATATATATATATATACATTTTAGGGTGTTCCTAATTCGTATAGAACAGCTTATAAATGTAAAATGTGACTAAAAAGCAAAGCATGATTTTAGGCTGGTTTCGTTTTAAACAATTTCTAACCTTTCATTTCTATTTTTTATTACTATTTTTACCTTTATTGACGTGATATTCGATATAAATTAAGTAAGTATGAAAGATTTATAGCACAAAAGAAAAAAAAAAAAAATTACTCATATATATGTTGTGTAGTAAAAAAGAATATGTTAAGTAATATATATAAAGTGTTGCTGCGGTTATATATAGTTTTTGTTGGCTTGAGTTTGTCAGAGAAAACGAATTATGTACGTTTTTTGTTATTGTTTGTCATTAGATCGTAAATGCTGGCTGTTGGTGGTGTAAGCAGCAAAATCAAAAAAAAAAAAAAAAAAAGAGTAGAAAATGAATCGTTATCTCAACAGATATTTACGGTATAAAATAACAGTTTGTGCGGCAACAGTATATCAGTCTGTTATTGGCTTTTAAAATTTAAACTTTAAACGGAAATTGAAATAAATTTTCGAATAAATATTAAACGGAGACAAATTTTGCAATGGTTGTGCTTTACGAACTAATTAAAAAGGTTTTCCTTTTATTCCCATTACATTCATTTTCGCAGCGCACTGGTGGTAAGCGGGAATTTTATGAAGAGATTCAAATGTTGAAAAATAAAATAAGTTAAATAAATAAATAAGTAAAAAAATATATATATAATATAAATAAATTTTCATAATAATATATTAGAAGGATCAATAAAATTAACTCATGAACCTGATACTTTCACTTTTAAATAATTAAAATATATCTGCTTTGTTATAAATTTATCAGTTTTCGATCTTTAATTGAAATAAGTTTTCAAATATCAAAAAAAAATTTTTTTCTTTTTTGTTTTTTTCTTGTGGAAATAGAAAAAAAAAAAAAAATTTGCATAAAACCATTTTAAATATAAAGTGGTGCTATAAATATATTAAATAAAAATCGAACAATGTGACTTAAAACAACAATTTTAATAAAATAACAATTATAGTAAAAGCATTTCTAAAAAAAAAAAAAAAAAAATCTAGTTTGGTATAGATGTATAAATTAACTAAAGATGAAATCGCAAAAAAAAAAAAAAAAAAATTGGACGAATTTAGCAGAGGAATAAATAAAAATTAAAAATGTTATGCTGATTGATATATTAATGAAAACAATATAACAAAAATTAATTTATATTTAAAATAATCAATCAGTTCATTTCTTACTAGAGCAACGGTTTCTTGATGCCTATGACTGCTTTAAGCTAGACCGGTAAACTCCATTCCCATTTTTAAGCTATGTTATGCGGCGTTCATGTGCAGTAAACCTATTACTTATGATTTATTTACTGTTTTTACTGTGTCTACATACTTTTCAAATAGCTTCATATTTTATATCGAATCTATTATTGTTACTCTATTATTGTTATTGCTATTAGCCAGACAAAATATTTTAAAACTAAAGTTTTAAAGCACATCTAAGCACATCTAAGCATATCAATCGGGCTATCGGGCTTCATTGAAAACTTTACCGCACCTGACATTTGAACTTACGACCATTGAGCTGTTAGCCGAGATACTTTGACTACTTGGCGACACATGCGAACACGTAATCTATAATATGTTTTACGACTATTCTCAAAATGATCAAAATCGTATTTGAATGTGAATTGGGTAGATTTTCAAATAGATTGAGTAGCAGTTACTAATAACTGCTTGGTCAATTCCACACAATTTTATCACTGCATAAATATGAGGAGGTAAAATTTTTTCGCTTTTTCTGCCCTGAATATTTTTACTAGTCTCCAAACTTATTCTTCTTGATCTTTATTCTTTACATTACTTCTGCAGAAGCATTTGGATTAAGCCCATTACATCGTATTAGACCGAACGTGTCAGAAGATGATTTTAAACTTGTTTGTCCATGTATTTTTCTGCTCAATCTACAACAGATCGTCATTTCGATAAAATTGGGCCCAAGAACAAGCGCTATTGAAAGCAATTTGGATTAGACCACTCTTTCGATGTCTTTCCATATAACGCTTTGTTTTTAGGAGAAATGACTTATTACTATTATCATTAATTTATTCTGAGAAGTAAATTTTAAGGCTAAAGTCTTAAAACACTAGCACCTAAGGCAATCGGATTTATTGAAAACTTTATTACACTTGACGTTTTTTAACTTCTGTTGACCATTGAGTTGTTTGTCAAAATCAAAAATTCTTGACGTCAAATTGAATCAAAAAAAATAATTTAATATTTGACAATTGAGAAAAATATTTTTTTCAAGGAAAAAAAGCAAAAGAAGGAGAAAATTGGCAAATATTTCGCATTGTGAGTTATCTGCGAGAAGTGAAATAAATCTGATTGATTATCATTTAAATTCTAGCACCGAAAAGAAAAAATTGCAGGAAAAAGAATTCTGCAAAATCATCTCAATAGGTCCATATTAAAGAGCAGAAGATTCAGTAGCTAAAATAAACGGCAAAGGCAACGTGAAACATCATCGAAAAGAGCAACGAAGGACTCCATTTCAGTATCTTGCGCGAATAAAGGTAATAATAATCCAGCATTACCCAAATGAACGTACCGTTGCGTCAATCCCAAAACGAGTTAAGTGATGCCAAACGTAAGCTTTGCGAAACTGAGAGAAAATTGGATAAAGTTCAAATTTTACGTAAGCAAGAGGCTGAAGAATCGAAACAATATCAAGCTGATCTGTTAACCGCTGTACGTTGTGCAAATAATTTAAAGACCGAAGCTGAAAGGATGCAACAACAACTAGCATTAGATAATAAAAAATTGGAAGAGAAGATCAACAAGCTTGAACAGCAAATTGTTGAATTACAAGAACAAATTGTATTAGATAATAAAAACTTGGAAGAGAAGATATACAAGCTTGAACAACAAATTGTTGAATTAAGAATGAACAAAGAGGAGCAACAACAACAATCTGGAAAACATGAATTTATTTCACGTACGTCCCAACAACAGGAAATAGCATTTAAGTGCAGCGAGTTAGGGTCTTCTTCTAAACAAACCCCTCGATTATCGGTGAAGGACTTAGTCAAAGTTCTAGAAAGCAATAAGCAGGTTAAAAAGCAAGTACCGCTTTATAATCCCGGCTTTAACCGAGACGATAGAGGACATATTGGAACGCCTACTGCAACAAAAAGAACAACTGACATTAATAATAAGTGTATTATGCGTTTAGATAAATCACTGCAAAAGTCAACTGAAACCCCATTGAGCAAATGGAAACGCCAGCAACAATCGGTAATAGCCCAATTAAAAATTCGAAATGAACGCGTAGTCGAAGGCAGAACACAGTTGAAGACTCTACAACCAAAAATACAAAAACAATTTGATAGAGAACAAGATTTGCGTAAAAAGGAAATGGAGCGATGGCAGCAAACCCATTCAGACCTTCAGGAGTTAAAGACTGAAGCTAAAAAAGCGCCTATGTTAGAGAATAAAACACATAAAGAAGAAATACGAACGCAGCAGCGGCAAAAACTATCTGTTCTAAGCCCGGTACTAGAACGAAAGGCATCGATACAGGTTAAACCTAAAATACCTATTAGATACCCATTGAGAGAACGGCACCAGTTATCCCTTACTCCCACTAGATATAAAAGAAATTTAAGCAATACTACAATGAAATCCTTACTAAACGATGCTAGTGAAGATTCCTTAAATACGATGACCAAACATGATAGTCGTGATCGTATTGCTTTGTTAAAATGGTGCCAGCAGAAGACTATAGGTTACAAATGTGTTGTTATTGTCGATTTCGGTTCGTCCTGGGATGATGGCTTAGCGTTTTGTGCAATTTTACACTCTTACCTACCCGATCGGATCCCATATGATGATCTAACTTCGGCCGATAAAAGACGAAATTTTTCTTTGGCATTTGAACTAACTAAGTCGTTGGGAATAAATACCATTGTAAATATCAACGTTATGCGTCAAACTGAACAGGCCGACTGTAAAGAGGTGATAGCCTATGTTACCGCTATCTACAAACATTTTGAAACTTAAGCTTATTTCGTTTTTCAATTGATTTCTTTTTAAATTATTTCTATTGTTATTTCCCTTAAGGAAATGTTTATGAAAAATTCGAATAAAGTTTGTCGTTGTCTTACGTTATATAAGCCGTGGAAAGCATTGCAAATTCGAATAAGAAGTTGTCATGCCCTGGTTTGCCCATAATTATGAACGTTTGGACCGGACGCATCCTTCTGATCCGACCAGGTACAATGTTCTCCAACAAGTTAGAAGTGATTTTCCTACGATCCTTTCTTCGCATACTGTCTACGCATTTTATAATTTGAAACATTAACGTTTTCAATTTTTGGTCAATTAAATATGTTCAAAGCGCACATAGTTTTCCTTTCGAAGAACAACTGGCCGATTGACCGAATAGGCTTTTGTCTATAATTATAAGAGATCGCTTCCAATGGCTTGCATGAAAAGTATTTTGTTGACCTTTCAACCAAGCAACCAATTGACTGCAATTGTTCACAAAATTTTTTTTTTTAATTTTTCTCAGTATTCTATACATTATTTAATTTACTATGAAAATTAATAAATAAAAATTTTAAATTTTAAAAGAAAAAAAAGCACGTAGATTAGTTCGCTTAATCACCAAAGTATGTACAGATAAAGAAAGGAAGCAGTTGTACAGGACCCGTGGAAGACAGTGCTGAGTGTATTCTATTGCGTGATAAAGGGGGCATTTCATATTAGATTTCTGCCTGCTTCTGCAAGATGTCGCAAGCAATTGTACGAAGTAAAAATTCCTATCCTCGGCCATTTTTTTTTTTTTTTTTTTTTTTTTTTGGGAAGGGAATATTAAGGGTAAACCAAACGCAATAAAAAAGTTTACCTCTTTTTTCGCTATATTACTGTAAAATGTGATATTGATAACTATCGGTGGAACATTATTTGGCCCCTTATCTAGTTTTTGGTCTTGAAAATGATGGAAATTACTTCCTCTCAGCGTTACAATAATTCGACCAAACTTATGCAATCTATTACAATTTTTCGCACTAAGGCCAATGTAAGAGAAATAAGGGCATTGGTAGTCCGAGTTCTTAAAAACAGAAGAAAACGGGTCGAAGAAAAAGCTTAAATTCGAATATTGCGCCAATCCTAGCTAATAAGTTTCAAGTGCAGAAAGTCTAGCTTTCAGACAAATCCAACTTTTATTACGTATTCATTGCTTGTTTTTTTTTTGTTTTAAAGATAGTAACCAAGCCGTTCAACTGAGAGCGGATAGAAGTCCTCCCTGGTCGTATGAAAATACAGAAGCGTGGGGCAATGACTATGAACAATGCAATGGGAGACGTCAATCACCTATAGCTCTAAGAACAGAGAGGGTAAATGACAATTACTGTTTATATATATATAAAACATTTATTATATACTTTGTAGAGCCTTTGGGTACCCTATTTAAATTTGAAATTTGGTAACTACGATGTCCCTTTGACCAATGTGACATTAATGAATATTGGCTACACTGGTAAGTTGTAATGAATTATCATAAATTTGCATTGTATATCTCAAGACGTTCTTCAATTTTAGTGCAGTTTCAAGTTCCGCCCACTGAAAATGGCCAATTACCCTTTATAACTGGAGCCAAGCTCAACGACCGTTATGAAGCTGACAATGTGCACTTTCACTGGGGTTCCCCGACAAGCCAAGGTGCCGAGCATTTGATTGATGGTCGCCGTTATAGTGCCGAAATGCATATCGTTCATAAAAATGTACGTTACGGGACGGTAGAAGAGGCTACCATGAATCCGGATGGGTTAGCGGTATTGGGTATATTCCTGGAAGGAGTTAACGTAAGTATAAAATTTTTTCACTCGTTAAGATTAAGAAAATTCAGTGGGTATAATGTACTTTTTAGAATCCTACTGTAAGTTATCCGGGACTAGATGAAATTTTCAATCATTTACCGGAAGTGAGGGAATACGAATCAACATCTCAATTAAACAATCCATTTACAATGCGTCAATTGTTGGGCAATTTAAATACTAAAGTTTTCTTTAGTTATTCCGGTTCTTTGACCACGCCGCCATGTTCGGAAGCTGTTAGATGGTTTGTATTCCGCGACGCATTGCAGATTTCCCAAAATCAATTAAACAAATTCTTCCAAATTATGGATCCGAACGGTCAACCATTGCTGAACAATTATCGTCCAGTTCAACCGGTAAATGAGCGACTTGTTCTTTATCGTCCGTCGTTAGGTATACTCAAAGTAAGAGGCGTTTGATTTAATTTTAAAACTAAGGTGACAACGAATTCCAATCTTCACATTATAAAACAATAAAAGTATTAGCAAAAAAAAAAAACGGAAACTTTGCATCTGCTTTCAATTTCAGCTAATTTCTGCTCTAAACCATTATAGGAAAAGGAAAAAATAATAATAGAGAGCTTTAAACCCCCGTAAAATTGGTAGCACTAACCGTATACAATCCGTATTATAGCGTGAACAAAAGTTGAAAAGTTTCATGAATGATTAAAATAATACAAAAAAAAATAAATAAAAAACAATGTAACGTTTGTTCAATTCAATTAAAGCTAAACAAAATTCTGAAAACATTTACTTCGCCGTCTTGTGAAAAATTCACGATGTTTATGGTAAAGATTCTTCATCGAACTGAGAGGAACCAAGTATTGCTTCAACCACAGTACAGAATTACCTGCTCTCGTAAGACTGTAAACCAGAGGATGTTCAGCGCTTCGATACCACATCAGCAAACAGTAAAAAATGTTATGAATAAAATTTATATACGCGAAGTGCTAATGAAGATGGATTTATAAGGAATGGTGAAGAGAGGATCACATACCGCAATAACGGGCGAAAAAGATTGTGGCCCATGGCGGCTAAAGTTGCTCAAACTGTGGCAAAACCCATGTTGACGCCGCATAAGGTAATGTTTAGCTAAGGCCTCCGTTACGTGACAATGCCAAACTACGCACCTTATCATTGAGTCGGCAAGAAGTTCATTGACTTAGTTAAGAAATTTGGCTAAAAAATTTTGATGTATGAAATATTTTAATGGTGTACAAGTGATTACAGAGGAAATCGCTAAATATCCTTTTGTTCAGCTTTTTGATTTAAAATCCCACAAGCTGCTCAATGACGGGTCAGCTTGTCGAACATAACGGAAAGAATTTGACTTAATCAACTTGTTTTAAGGAATAAAACAAATGAGTGCAAATTTCGGTTACAGAACGCTACGAACTTTTTCTTTGACTTTATATATTTATAATTTTTCAAATTCCAAGCTTTCTTAAGATCCCCCACACTGGCAAGTATAGTTCATATATCCTCGCTCTGAGATCTGACTGTGCATAACTCATTAACTTGTGTTCCGCCTTACTCTCAGTAAAGCGAGAGTGCTTTACTTCTTATAGTTTCGATTTGCCTCAGCCAGGGCCGAATACATGGAAACTCGCCTGAAAGATCTTTGAATATAAAAGTCATTATGTTGTTGCAGTAACTAAAAGATTTATATATATATATAAAAATCACTTGGCCCCTAAGACTGCTGTGACTTTTAAAACGACTTTAACACTGATTAGCAAACGTTACGATGTAAAAAATGTTTATCGCTTCTAGAACAATATTGATCACATCGATAGTTTATTATAGGAATGACGCGTCATTCTTATTACATTTAATGATAGGAAACACTGCACTATGGAATGGTGGCCTCGTCGAATTAGCTAATAGAACTGAGAACACTTCCATAGGGAGCCTATAATTAACCAACGAAATTATGAATTTGCTTATCAGACAATGAATTTCACGCTTTCTGTACCGAACAGCAGTTTCTATTATTAGGTTTGAAGCTTTGAATGATTGTGATTTGTTCTTTCTTGAGAAGCAAGATACGGTAAAATTCAAGTTTCGATATAGGGGAGAAGCAGTAAAACTCAGACTTTGCTGTATGAGAGAGAGAGAGAGAGCAACCGTAAAACTGAACGAGCGATATAAAATCCTTTTTATCTGCATATATCTACATAATTTACTCAACTCAACTCAACTTAAGGTTGTTAGCTTTAACACTGCTAGCTATTAACGCTTCTGGGACCTGAACAAAGAACTAACGAAACTGAGTTCAAACAAAAACAATTTTGTCGCCATTTAAGAGTTATATAAACATTTGAATAAACACATTACAAAACTTATTATCGATCACATTGTTATTTGGTTTGAGCTGAGTTACAACGAGAATACGCAACAGTCGTTTTATGTGAAAATGTTCAGCTCACTCTCATAACCAAACCGAATCTAATTATTTATTTTCACTCAATTAATCGAAAATAGTAATAGTTATTAATGATTCGATAGAAGTTTACGCGGAAGGTAAATTTGCGCAAAATGGTAGTTAAAGCTTTGCAAGCTATTGGATATATATATGGAAAATATTGGCGGAAATTAAAAGAAAAAAGTGAAAGTGAAAGTGAAGTGAAACAATCACCTTGCAATGGTGTTCACGAAACTACCAAAAATAATAATCTGTGTACTTGTGTTTTTCACTTTGCGTTTATTTTCGCAGCAAGCTGGTACGCCTAAGTTTTAGAATCGAACCGATTTTTGATTACCAGCAAAAAGTAAAGTTATCGCTTATTGAGTTTGCTTCTCGTTTGTATCTACATCGTTCTACATCTACGACTCCAGATTAGCCCTTATAGTCTATTTTTAAAAATACAAGCCTAGCATAGTTTTATTTGTTAGTGTTTATCTTACTTTAATCGAAGAATTTATGTCTCTCGGATAAATAAATTATAATAAAAAGATATTCATGTAACGACTTTTCAAAGTCAAGCGTTATATTCGAACAATCCGAACAATTTTCAATAGCGTTCGTCCTTGAATCAAAACATGTGAAAAATTTCGTTGAAATATTTCGAAAATTGGGGTCCGTAGATTGTGCAAAGAGGCACAGACAAGCTTAGATCGAAGCAGAAAGCAATTCTGAATCGATCGGTCTATGCTGGATCGCAAACTTTGTGTTTGTGTTGGTTGGTCAAACCTAGCATGTTTCCTAGAACAACCCAAAGGTTGGCTTAGACTTGGATCAAAGAGCAGTTCATTTGTAATTTAGTCAAAATTATTCGTATTTTGAAAATGAGACAAAACTGTGAAAAATTTCCGCGTGTTTCCCGCTTGCAGGGCTCTGAAACGATCTATGGCGTTTGCGGTGAAGATGTTTCATCAAAATCAGCAACATGCAAATTTCTTTGAAAACTCGATGTTCCCTTGTTGGGAGAAAGTAAGGTTTCGTGCGACAACAAGTAACAATTGTTGGTATTTTGCATCAAATTGGGCTAAATTTATCTGCACATTCTGCAGATAAGAGTCTTGATGAGAAATCAACCTTTCCATGGAAAAAGATGTAATTTTTTTTCTTATTTTATGACGACAGAAATAAATGAAGAATTGTACTAAGTGAAGTGATGTAGTCGATCTTATCCGACTATAATATGCTGAGTTGTTTTCTAATGTTTTCCTTTTTTCTTTTTCTAATATTTGGCTAAAAGAAGCAACAAGGTCTTGGTCTTATAAGGACAAAAAACATTGGTACCAGCAATTTTCTACTTGTAAGGGGAGTCGACAATCACCAATACATCTGTGTAGTAACAAGGTTGAAATCAACTCTTTTTTTTATACCCATCACCTAACGATGAGAGGTTTATTCATTTTGTCAAAACGTTCGCAACGTCCAGCAGGAAGCATCAGAAACCCCGCAAAGTATATATATTCTTGATCAGCGTCAAGACCGTCAATGTCTATTGTAACGATTCTTTTGGCCGCAAAAATGAAGCAATCATTTCATTCAAATTTGGCAGAAACGGTCTAAGTTCTTCCACGCACCTAAACATGTCCCCCTGTGCATCTGTCGATCGGTCTGTTTGCGCAACTTTGTAGTATTTATGGTAAACATTTTTCCGTTAGTGAAAATGAAGATATCGCCTACAAATTTTGCAAAAGAATTTCAAATTGATGTAAATTTTTCACAAGACACGTCTAAGCCGCCCACATACCAAAACCTTTTATTTTGAAAATATAAAAAATCAGCTAAAGCCCGCTCCATATTATAGAGTATGAAAATTTTGTTCTTTTACTTCTTTTGTGTTTTTTTAGGGTAACGGTGATGGGTATAAAAAATTCGGTTCTGACCGAATTTAATTTTCTTACTTGTTCTTTTTAAAATATAAACTTCATATTAATTAAATTAATTAAATTTTACAGTGCAAACGTGTACGCGATGATTACTTAACTCTGCCTATTCATAACATTTCTCTGGCTCACACTTTTACAATGGAAAATAACGGTCACAGTGGTAAGACGTGATTATATTAATCAAATCCTTAGGTTGCGATGAGATGTGTATTTTAGTGAAAATTGAATTTCCCCGAGACAAGAAACGGCGCCATCGATACGAACCCATGTCTGCACATTTCACTGGGGTTCGCCGACAAGTAAAGGTTCAGAGCATATGATCGATGGTCACCGCTTTGATGTCGAAATGCATATTGTACATAAAAACAGGAAATATAGGACTATGGAAAAAGCTTCCAAGCTACACGACGGTTTGTTGGTTGTGGGAGTTTTGTTTAAAAAGGTCAAGGTATATAAGAAATTTTCAAAATATTGGGAATTTTATTAAAATGAAATTTTCTAAGGATGCAAATATTCGGTTTAAATTGCTCGATAATATTTTCAATTCATTGCCGAGCGTGAAAACTTATAAGGACTCCGTCCATGTAAAATATCCGTTGAAAATTGCGGGTTTACTTGGCAACGTGGATACTAATGTCTTCTTTTCCTATCGTGGTTCTCTAACCACGCCGCCATGTTATCAATCAGTACGTTGGTATGTATTTCGCGACGCGGTACCAATTACTGAGAAACAATTAAATAATTTTTTTGAAATTATGGATGTGCATGGCGAACCGTTGCTGAATAATTTTCGTTTGCCTCAGAGTAAAGGCGGACGAACTGTACGTTATCACTCAAGGAAGTCGACAAAGCAGTAAAATTGTCATTCATTTTGAATGTAAGTGGTTAACTGGTATACGCCGCGAATTCTTTTTTTCCCGAGTTCAATATTCTAATTTAATCTTTCACCGCACATTGGCGTTGAATGTCTTTCTACTTAGCAAGATATATTGTAAATTGCCTCCGCGAGTGGATTCACACATATTATGGTTGCTATAGAACTTTCATCAACCTCTATAGCTCTGCGCTTCTGTTTTAAAGCAAACTTGAAAGACTCTTTGAAGTCTAAGCTTTTGCATATTAACGGAACACAATAATACATAAAAGTACATATAAAATATAAATTTAATAAAATAGAGATTTTTCAATTTTAGCAAACAGTAAATATAAATATATAAATAATACTTACCCTGTAATCAACTTTACGCATACTTTTCACTTTGAAATTTCTTCTTAAGTCTATTTAAATTTTATTACATTTAAGCGAAATTTGAAAATGATTTTTTGAAACTTTTCTTTTTATATATAATATAAACATATTTTTCTCTTAAGGCCTTTAACACATTTCACACTTTATTTGCTTCTCTTCCATTCTTTTAAAACCTTTGCAATTCATATGCAAACTCTTTCTTATGTGCTCTCTTTTTTTTCTCTCTTCCTCTCTATTTTTATTACTCTTTTACAGCTGATCATGGTAATTTTTTTTTCTAATTTTCACCATAAATTAAGTGATTATATCTGAATATTTCATGTTTTAATTTAAGAAAACACCGCATGTACCGCCCACACCGCCCATTAATTTTACGACGATTTAATAAACCCGACTATCGACGTAATGAACTTATTGCGCGGCTTTGCTGTTTGTCAACTAAATTTTTTGCGGCATTTATTACGAGGCTGACCGGCTTTTTATTAAAATCTTAATATTCCTTAACGGTACTTGTTAATATCAGACAAATATTGACTTAATTATTATTCATAACAATAACTTGAAATGATTTGAAGCAAATTACATCTTTTTTGCACTAAAAAATAAATTCACTAATTTACGGCAATTTTTATCACAACGCGTGCACAACCAACAAGAATAAACTTCTCGCGCAAACTAAAGCCACGCTTAGAGAAAAGCAGTTTGAAACGATGCTGCCATATATCGTAAAATTAATTTCTCCCTTAAACATTTTTTTTTTTTAAATTCAAATTTTATGGCATAGCTGTAGGAGTTGCAAATATTATCAAACTTCTTTTCTGTTTTAAATACTTTAGTAAGCTAAAAAATTTTCTCTACCTTATTTACGCATATACTTGCTAATACACACATCCGCACAAGTGCTACGGTATACAAATAGGAATAAAATACATTTTTCAAATATTTCTGCTACAGATTTCAGTTAATAGGCTTATAAAAGATAATTCTAAAAAAATTTTCTGGTAATTCTGGCTTATAAAATATATTTACGTGAAAATTTAAAGCAATTGCTAGTAGAAAGCATTTAGTAATATAATAAATTATTTGTCAAGAAATTCTTAAATGTTTTTGTGTTAGCTTAACATAATTTTATCTCTTATAGTTATTGTTCGCAAGTTCAGGCTTTTTCCCATTTTAGCTTTGTGTTCGCAAAAAAGCGATTTGCAGATCTTTTAGAAACTTTAACAATTGCTCTGATTACGCAGAGAGATTGACGCATATACTTAAATCGTTTCAGAATTTGATGCTGATCAAGAATGTGTATATATGCTTTAGCGAGTCTTTGATGCTTTACCTTATTATTTTTATATCTACCATTGAAAGACGGTCGTGTGTTCACTGAGGAGGAAGCCATGTAAAGTATAGGTACCCTTGGTCAGCATCCAATTCTGAGTCGATTTAAGTATGTACGTCTGTCTATTTGTGATAAAAAACTTTAATGGCCGTAAGAGTGAAGCTATCGACTTCAAATTTGTTACAAGCAAAGGAAGTCGTTGGAAGCAGATTGGTGTAGAAGGACATGCCCACCGTACAATATAAACTGAAAGAATTTCCTTTAGAGTGGGGAGTGTGGAGGTTTTGTTATACCAGGGCCCGTGAACCGATGCAGCATTACCTGCGCTGAGAAGACGAAGAATTTAAGCAATGTTTGAATATAAGGATGTGTGGAGGATATGATCGCTAATATGTGATCAAGTGTATGTAATATACGCCGGGTTTTGGAAAAACCGGATAAACTAATATTTACGCGGATATAATTAAATGGAATAATACAATGGTCGATTTTCAAGTATTAAGTGAAATGTAGCTTAGAAACTTCAAACGCCGAATGTTGAAGACAATAAGAAGAAAAAAGAAATTAATTGGAAAAAATGAAATATGATGAACTCAGACAAAGTCTGCCATCACACACATCAATGTTGCAAATATTTTTGAGTAAATAAATCAAAATTTCGTATTTAATTTAACGATTTTCTTTGAAAACGATTTATAACTGATAGTTGTGTTTGTCATTCAATACATTGCATAGTTATTAATGGTTTAAATGAAATTCACGTAATGCGATTACTTGACACAATGCATGTCGTCTATGGCTTATAATGTAGTTAAGATCGAAGATTGTTGCAGTATTTGCGCTCGCTTAACATTGCTTAGCTTACACATCGTCTTCAGTAAAAGCTCTTTTTTTTTCCTTTTTAGTGCGTTTACAAACTCTCGTCATATTTATGTGTATATAAAATAATGTTAACGGTATTCGACGATTTAGTTGATTTTAAATTATTGAACGTAATGTCATTAAGCCCAGTCGGCGTAAAAGAATTTTTAGATATTTCTTTAAAAACGATTTATTTATAAATATTATTGTTTATTTATTTGTTGTTTTTTTTTTTTTTTTTTTTCTTTTGTCAAAATCAATAAGTTCTAAACGGTATAAAGAAGTTTATAATTATTTTTTGACAATTGTTGTTTTTCTTTTTTTTTCTGTACATTTTCAATTCTTGAAAATTTTGATTTGTTTCTGTATCAATAGCCAACGAAAAAAAAAAAAATATATATATATATATGTGCATTTATAGTCGTGCGTACATATACGAAGAAAAAAGAATATCATGAGCTTTCCGGTCTTCAATTACTTCTATCCGCGTTTGTTATTCTTTTTGCCATTGGCAATGGGTGCGTCAATAAATAAAAATAATAATAATAATAATAACAACAACAATAACAACAACAACAAGATGTGTAGAAATCTTACTAACGGTAATTTGGTATAAATTAATTTTTATAATAATAAAAAAAAAAAAAATGCAAATATTCACATAGACTATAGAAACCGTAACTCAGTCTCAATGTAAGTGGGCGTAATCGGGCGACGGGTCGACTTTAGTATGCACGCGGCCAATTGCATTTCGCTAAAGTTGAAGGAGAAAGTTTGGAAGTTCTCAGTAAAAGAAATTCGCTTTATGGCGAAGGCGTGTGTGTGAGGAGTCGTAGGGATCTATTTTGAACAATGCATTATCTTTGGCTTTATTGTGTATACGAGGAGATTTTGTTTTATCATTAAAGGAGAGATTTTCGTTCAGTTCACTTCAGTTTCAATAACACACCTCCTTTGACGGACGTATGGATGGATGGATGGTGTGTTACCAGGTCTTTTTGAAATCGCAACTCTTCTACTTTGTCTTCAAAGTCAACATGGCATTGCTATCGCTTACTCCAAACCTCGCCTCAAGGTAGGGGAGATTCACTTCGCTTCTTTGTCTCTGCGTACTGCATTCTTATTGACATAGAAAACATTCGACTTTTTGCACACGACTTCCAACTCTTGTTATGAAAATGCCCGTAAACTTGTGTTAGTGAGTGTAGCAAGTGGCGATATTAGAAGGGAAGTGATAAGAAGACATAATCGCGAAGAAACATTAAGCTCACAAGTAACAAAAATGGTTTACAAGAACGTATACAACTCTACAGAAATCTGTGTACACTTTTTTTTTTTTAGCTCTAAGAATATGAGAAGATGTTTCTTTCCTCTTCTTCTTGGTCAGTGCAATGAAGGTAAACGTTTATTAGTTTTGCTTTTCACTATCTCTCAATTGGCGGGAAAGTTAAGACGGAAAGTTAAAACTTCAATTTTCTTTTTGTCAAAAGCAAGTAGAAGCACTATTATGTAACGTATGTCACTTCGCTTGATGCTTTTAGTTATATGATCATTTTTCAAAATAGGATGACTTATAGGAAGTAGTCGAAAGAGTGGTCCAATCCGAGCCATATTCGGTAGCGTTCGTCCTTAAAACACATTAAAGCAAGACAGACAGACGGACATCCAAGCTTAGGCCGACTTCGAAGAGTGTTGGGAAGCTATCTACGGGCAAAAATTTCATTTTTCATATCACTGCGGAGGCCAGGGCAACGCCCAACTATTACCTCATTCCTAGCCGCACAATCCTTTTACAGAATTAATTAAAAGTCTTGATAGTAATTAGTTATGGAGGCAAGTCGATAACAAGCTCTACTTTTTATTTAGAAATATACGGCACCTAAAAGCGCACATACACTCACGAAGTTAACAAAAAATTATTATTAAAGTATTTAACGTCCGTTGCATGCAACTATTGGCTCTAATTGTTGCTATTTTCTATGTAGAGGTTTTATATAAAATATCGCTAAATATCGGAAAAAACAGTAGAATGGAATGAAGTAGTTGTTGTCGCACAAGAGAACAAAGTGGGTTAGTGTGGTGGTTTAATGTGAACTATGCGTAATGGTTTAACGTAGATATAATATAACTGTGGTGTGTTCCTTATCAGTAGGAGTATATTGCTTTTTAATTTGGATTTAAAATTAAAAATAAATCTGATCTCAATTCCTATTCGTTTTTATGCGAGCAGAACCCATCAGTTATCGTAACAACACGGACGATTGGTATAGTAGGTATCCCCAGTGCCTCGGCTACCGACAGTCGCCAATTGCAATCTTTCGTCATAAGGTATGTTAAAGTATAGTTATATAAAAAAATAAATAAATAAATAAATAAATGAATAAACATTTAGAGAAATAAAATAAAAAGTGGAAAAAATGGAAAAGAAAGAAAAAATAAAAGAAAATAAAAATATAAAAAAAATAAATAAACGGTAAACAAAAATGTTTAAAAAAATATATTAAAGAAAATCAAGATAAATAAAATAACAATGTGGCACGGTCACCCTTAAATACCCCCGAATACCCTACACCACGCTTCCAGATATTTATACAACGATTTTCCAATGCCAGTGATTATATGAAAATGGGGGCCGATCAGAAACCTATTCAATAGCATTCGTGCTTGGGTGGAAAAACGTCCGAGTATCAAATTTCATCGAAATATCTCGAAAATGACGGCCTCCGGATTGAATAGAAGAAAACAAGACGGACAGGAGCACTGACAAGCGATTAAGGAAATGATTTAAAAAATCTTAGAAAATGATCCTGAATCGATCGGTATCATAAAAGATGGGCCTTTCTCAAGTCCTTCTGATTGTTGCATATGCCCGCACAAACTTAATATGCTCTTATACCACAAGGGTGGGTAGAGTGTATATAAAGAAGTAAGCAAATTATTCTCAACTGCCCGTTTTTTTCAAAAGCGCTCAAATAGAAAGAGAAACTAAATTTTTTAATAACCTATAACATTTGTGGGCGTGGCTGATTTTTTATACTTTCACGGAATAAAGACAGAAATTTGTATCGTGTGTCTGAAGCGGTTATCTTGATTTTTGCAACCATGCGTACGGTTATCACAGCGATTAGCAAACAGATGGAGAGACGGACTGACAAACATGTCTGGAACGACAATCAATGACATGTAGACCTTATAACGGCGAATAAACCCCTCATTCTATAGTAGTGGATATGAAAAAAACGGTTAAAAAAAATCCCAAAAAAAGCAAAACGAAAATATATAAAAAAAACACATGGGTAAGACGAGAGAGTAAAAAATAAAAAATAAATCAAAAGCTAAATTGAAAGAAAACCAAAAATTGTAAAAAAAAAACAAAAGAGATTGAAACTAATTTACGTTTCACTTCAAGTCTATAGATATTGTAGTGCCACCGATATTGTTTGGCTTATACGATATTCCCATGTCGGAACCGATAGTTTTACACAATTCAGGACATACTGGTAAGTGATTTTGTTCCGTTTAATTTTTTTGAAGGAAAATTGGATATAATTTAAAAATGCGAAAAATTCCAGTTCAATTTCAAATGCCTAAAACGGTCTTGGGTGAGAGGCCCTTCATTACTGGCGGAATACTTGAGGACACGTATGTTGTCGAACAAACGCATTTCCATTGGGGTTCGGCTACACGCAAAGGCTCTGAGCATATGCTAAACGGTCATCGATATGATATGGAAATGCATATAGTTCACCATAACGGCAAGTACGCCAACGTGAATACAGCTAGAAATTTTGAAAACGGTATTGCCGTGATTGCTGTTCTCTTCAAAATTGTCAAGGTAAACGCAAAGCAAAAATATGTAGATAATCCGCACATTTTCGTACTTTCTCACGCGATTTCAATTAGATGCGCGATATAGGTTATGCCGGTTTGGATGTGATTTATAAAAACTTGAAAGGCGTTCAACTTGCCAATACGTCCGTAACGGCCGGGGAGATCATTAGTTTGGGCTCATTGTTGGGCAGTGTCGATCGCAACGATTTCTATACATATCGCGGTTCACTGACAACGCCGCCATGCTCGGAAGCCGTGACATGGATAGTCTTTGCAAATATTCTTCCAATCTCGTATTCAGATGTAAGTTTTCTACATAGAAGGCTTCACCTTCTTCGCTCTCTCTTAATTTCAATACTCTTTCCCTTTAAATAGGTCAAAAAATTCTGGAATCTTAGAGATACCACCGGTAATCAATATGTTAACATTCGCGGCTTACAGAGCAGCCTCTTTCGTAAAGTTTACCATTTCGGACACCTTACATTGAAAGCCTCTACATGGTAATTTATTACTCTTCCGGATGTATCTTCTGCGTTGTTTTTTTTATTTTTTTTATTGCATATTAAAGAAAATTTGTTCCTCCGATAAAATTTAATATATTTGTAAGCATAATTTTACAATAAAGAAAAGCAAATATATTTCATTTATATAAATTGTTATTGTTAAGAGGGCTAGCTAAGGGCGCATCAGAGATTATTGATTGGAAGCAAAAAATTAGGAGGCATAGTTGTCAGGTAGACGTCGAAGCAGTCTTCCAGCTGCGGCCTGACAACGGTAATGGGACTTATTGCAGGAGCTTTGTTGTGGCGGTGGGAAGAGCTTGCTTGCTTACTCAACCAAGTATTTAAGCCAAAAATTTGGAAGAATTAAAAGGGCCTCGTTTATCACATGTGGGGATATTTTCAAGTGTGTATGCTCTTCTGGCACTCGGCAGTTAACCACCCTGTAGTCGTTTGCGGATGTCTTTCCCTGCCTGCGTTATCGGGCACTGTGGGATTAAGCCTTTACCGCACGTACCTACGAAAAACACCTAAACACAATCTGTCGTAGGCAAGTAAAAGTATTAGGACGACTTGAAATTTTATTCAGAGCCAATATATGAACGCTACTGAAAATAGATTAGGTGTGACCAGTCCTACGAGTTCTCCTCATTTAATACTTTATTTTGAATAAGTTTACGGATTACGGAAAAAATATTTGGATTTATTTGGTCATGACACGGGCCAGGCGAACCATGAGCATTGTAAGCCAACCTCTGCATACTCATCAAAAAGCCAAGATCGTGCACCGTATTTGGAGCGAACAGAAGGCTGTGCTTCCCAATCATCGCGAAGAAAATCAATTGTTGCATTATAGTAAGACATGAATTTACGATCTTTAGTAGATATAAAATAAGAAGCTTGAAAAGAAGCTATGCTTGTATTAGAATAAATGCTGAAATGCTTCTGTTAAGCCAAATGGCACGTCTCCTATTTACATACTTAGTCTTGTATGCTCATCATATGTTAGCTTCAGTTAGTTGCTTGGTTGGTCGGTAACAATAAAATTATTATACTTGTATTGAACTGAGACGTGATTGTGAGAAACTAAATGAATTCCTTTTCTTTACTAAGTATTAAATCGCATTTTCACTAAAAAGGAGATTTATTATAAAAAACATAGCGAGACATTCATTCAATTTTCATCCGATGGACGAGGTATTCATATCAAAGGTACACAACATGTTGTACTGAGGCGTAATGGAACGTTTCATTAAGTCAATCTCTGCTTAAATTTACATAATTTGTTATACGGATTTAAGGGTATTTTCAATGAAACCCATTGACGGTAACGGTGCTAATTATTTTAAATATTAAATAAAAAAGTTTTGTATTTAAACATCAGTAATATCATGTAACTCAATATGGGTAAAAGGAGGCCACCACCGCTGCTATCAGCCAACCATCATTGATTGAATCATTATTGCTCCATATTGTTGTGGATTTTCCTGTACATTATTTAATAATTAAGTCAAACATGATAGCTGTGTGAATTATGGTTAATTGTTATGACGACAACCATTGCTAAGTGAAAAAGTTTCTTAAACTTAAGTTGAATAAGGTAATGTACACTTACACCAATCGATGATGATGATGATGATGATGATGATGATGATGATGACACAATCAAGATCCAATCAATTGAAAGGTTATATACTTGGCGGTACAATGGTTAACCAGCTAAAGCGGAAAATATTTTAAATCACTTACCTTTTCTTACTCGGCTCTATTTAATGTTTTTATGAACATTTCCCCTGATTTATTAATAAACAAATGTTTTTCTATTTTTTTTTTTTACTTTTATGAAAAGTTATGCTTTTATTATTTTATACTATTTTTTTTAATTATTTGCTTAATTAAAACTATTATTCTTACTTAATATCATTTTTTCTCTTCTCGTTAGCAAATTCTTCCAAAGAAACAATTTGTTGTTTGCATATCGCAACATAATTGCGACTTGTTTTGTCATTTGCAGATACCACCGAGAGAGAGGGAAAATTCTTGTAAAAAATGTGTACTTTCTCGTTGTTTTTTTTTTTTCTATCGTTTGGCAGGAATTTGAAATTTGTATTTAGTTGTCTGGAAAGTTAGTATTCGCGACGCACTAAAACGTTACCAAAGTCATCTCTTCTAAGCGGGAAAGGTATTTGTAACTCCTTCTTTCGAAGTGTTTAAATTAAATTTCGATTCTCTTAACCAGTTAACTACTTCGATCCAAATATTCATTTTGATGCGTTTGACGTCACATAAAGATCATGACTTTCAAAAACACATTAAGTTGCCAACGAGCAGTGAAATATAAAACATCCTTCGCCTTCACTTAGACGGGAATTGATGGCATTGAATACTTGATATAGCATACAATAATTGTAAAAAATTTCAAACTTCATGTCACTCAAAAAATTCGTGGAGGTCAATAAGGTTGTGTCATCATGATTTCTTTTTGTATAACTTACGTCACTTATGGGGCGGATCTATCTGCAACACCCAGAAGAGCTTGAGACAGGTGCATTTTTTATTATAGCGATCGATTTGGAATCATTTTTTGAATCAATATAAGTTTGTCTGTCCGTCTGTCTTTCTTGTATTCTTGTGATTAGCCTACAAGTCTCAATTTTCGAGATATTCTGATCAAGTTTGGTATAGCGACGTGTTTCCAAGGACAAATGCTATTGCAAATGATTTGTATCGGATCACTTTTTCGACCATTTCCTTTAGCTTAGCCCTTATCTTATTTTGAAAAGTCCTTCTACCAATAGCGTGTGGAGTGTTTAATATATAATGTTTTTACTTTCCAAACACAAAACATTTAAGAATAAGTAATAAAAATTTGGTATACCTGCCATCTAGGTTCCAATATACTTAAATCAATTGTGTATTCAGTAAATCACTTATTACTAATTAGTAAAATTAAGTTTTGTACATATTTGAGTGTGGACCGACCCGGATCAATTCGATGTCAATGTTCTCATAGTTTCGAGAAATAAGATGATGAACTATTAGAAAGAGACACAAAAATGCGTAAAATAAATCTTGCGCTGATTGAAAATAAAAACAAAATGGGCGTAACAACTTTGCTGTAATATCAAAATAAATAATGAAAATAATAAATTATTAAGATAAGCATATCCAGCCATTACTACTCTTCACTACCCATGCATCGTGTGTTAGTTAAATGTAAATACAAAGTAGGCGCAGCATCTCTATCATAATAGCTGAGTAAATAAATGATACAACAAAGAAAGAAAGAAAGAATTAATAAACAAGAAGCGTCTTCAGCGAGCAGATAAAAAAGATCTAATCGAATTTTACCACTTATCACCTCAGTACTCCATCTTATCTCGATTAAAAGAAGGCGTACCCCTTTAGGCTTTATCATAAGAATAAAATTTTTAATAGATAAGAGCAATTACCAAGTAGAAACCTCCAGGCAATGCGGACGAGTAAGACATGCATAGTCAACTTGCGGCATATTTTCATTACCCAAGTCCAAGGTATTTGGTCAATTATAAGCCGGTTAAAGTTTCAAACAAGACATATTAAGACCGCTATTAGCTAAGATCTTAAATGGCTTTATTAGATTTCCCCAGTTACCTTGGCAAAACCTTCTCTTGGTTTTCGTTCGTAAAACGTAACGTAAGCATCTGAGTCGATCTGATCATAGTTTTTCGAAACACAAACTCAAGTCGATGTACTTGATATATTTGACAGTAGCTGATTCCCGTGGTTACCTGGAGATCTAATTTTCACCGTCTCAATGGCATCATGAGACTCTCTACTTTCATTGCCGGCTGAGTATTTGTCTTCTTCTGACAAAGAAATAAAAATAAAATAAAAAGAAAAGTCCCGTCGGTTGTCTGCTGTCTGTCTGTCCACTGTAAGTCAGTCGGTCGTCGTCTAGCGTCGGCCCTACATAGCCATCATATGCACACCCCTTCGTCTCAGCCACAGCGGTGGCAGCTCGCGGTTAGCCACTCATCGGGGACAAAAAATTAAATAGACTAAAAATGACTTACAATACAAGCATCGGCGTCGGTGCACTGTCGGCCGCGGTAGCTGCTACATCGGCAATCCCTGCTCCTCTTTCTATTAAGCCTTTTCCACTCCAATACAAACTTTAATTTCCCTTGCTGTGTGCGTAGGTTCACGTGGGTAAACGCTGTTTGCAATAATAACCTGGGATCTAATTAATTTCTCTTCCGAACAAATTTCTTAATCCGTGTAGTTTTCTTTTCTTTACTCCAATTGCGTTTACTTTGTCAAGTTGCTGTATTGGTTATTTATTTTTTTCTTTCTTTTTTTTTTATATAAATGCTTGGCTATTTCTTTTTATTATAAAACATTGTTCTGCTAAAACGTTTTTTTTCTTTATTTTTTTATTGTTTGCATTATTCCTATGCATATGTTTTTCTTTACAGCAAAGTTTTACAATCGTAGAATTTAATATGTATATAAATATTTGTTTATTTTTTTTTTTGTTTGTTTCAAAAGCACGCATACAAAAAGAAATTTTTTTTTTTTCACGGTGGATCTGTTGGGCAATATAAAGGGGGGTTCGCCAAACTGTTATCGCAGTTCTGTCGCTCCGGCGTGGATCTGTTGGGCAGGGCGGCAATATAAAGGGGGGGTTCGCCAAACTGTTAGCGCAGTTCTGTCGCTCCGGCGTGGATCTGTTGGGCAGGGCGGCAATATAAAGGGGGGTTCGCCAAACTGTTAGCGCAGTTCTGTCGCTCCGCCGTGGATCTGTTGGGCAGGGCGGCAATATAAAGGGGGGTTCGCCAAACTGTTATCGCAGTTCTGTCGCTCCGGCGTGGATTTGTTGGGCATGGCGGCAATATAAAGGGGGGGGACGCTTGTAAGGCTTTTCAGAAGCAGGATAATCCTCACCCAAAGTCGATTCTTCTATCGACTGATTGCCAAAGCTTATCGCCTTAATGAAGGCACACTTCTAAAGCATTAATTTTTTCAAGGGTTCACACACCCACACACACACAGAATGGATCTTGCGTTTTGGATGAATTCAGCTCGGCACTTAACACCTAAAACTGTCCTTCTTACAATTTTGTATTTTCTGAAGTCCTAAGCGTTCGTAGATCGTATTCCAACTTTTCTCACCAAAATTATAATGATCGCAATGCTATTAGCAAAGCATCTGAATTTTTCGGAATCGAACAAGTGCTTCGGTAATTTGTAAATGGATACCATTCAGGTGTGTATCGCTTCCCAATTAAATATTCTACTTAATACTTTATTTAGAATCAAGCACGATTTTTAGGCTCAATACAAGAGGGTTAAGAAGCGTGCCTAAAACAAAAATTATTCTTTGTTTTAGTTTAACTTTGAATTTTTAAATGTTTAAGAAAAATCAGATCAGAGACTCAGATGCTCGCTAAGAGATAAGTCATTTATAAGTTGTCTTCGATGAGAATTTGTAGAATTTATAAATGAATTCGATGGCGGCTAAGAAGAGATTTGTATGCATTGTAAGTATGGCGTGCTGCAAAATCACATAATTATTTCATTTTGGCTTTTCAAGAAAGTCGCAATTGTTTATTTGAAAGTAAAATATTTATTCATTAAACAACAAAAAAAAAAAAAAACAAAAACAAAACTTTGGATTTTCAAGCATTTCTCGAATTAATAATTGTATTTAAATAAACAAAACAATTTGTGATAAAAGTAAAATAAAGAGAGAGGGAGTATTTATATTCCTTCATAAAAAAAATAAAAAATAAAAATCCCATTTTAGTACTTCGAAGGGTAAAAACTATTTAAAAATTTTGCCTGCGAAATATATAAAAAATAAAAATTGATTTTTTATTCGATTGAAAAGCGAATTAATTTTTATTATCTTAGGAAGAACAAAAAACGAATAGAAAATAAAACAAAATTGAATATAAAAACTTTAAATCTCTTAATAAAAATGACAATTGAACAATATTAATCACCTCGTTAGTGTTCAAAATAAAAAAAGAAAGCAAAAATATTTAAAAACATTTTTCATATGGTTTTATAAAAATTTCTATTATTTTAATAACAAATATTTTAATAAATTCTTTTTTTTTTCTTTTCTATTAATCATTGCACTGCACACAAATAACAATTATTTTATATTACTTTATTTACAAATGCAATTTTATTAAAATGATATAAAAAAAATAATAATAATAATTTGAAAAGAAAAATTATTTTAAAAATAAATTGTGGATCGACTTTTCAGTAAAAAAAATATATATGATTGGAAGAACAAGGTATAATTTTCATTGTGAATTAAAAATTTTTGATTTTTCTTTTGTACAAAAATTATTGTTGCAATGTCAGGATCATAGAATACCCGAAGTCTGGAGAATTATGTAAGTGTTTGTTGTTTTTGTCAAGTAAAATGATAGAAAGTTGTGTGTACATAAATATGATGGTTATATTAAAGTTTTGGAGCGGGCGTTGATGCTTGCCTGTATGAAATGAAAATTAACAGAGAACATTACTTTCCCATGCGTTTAAGAACCATAAGAGCAATAAGAGTTATACGTACGTGTGTTCGGGATGAGCACGTATTCTTTCAATCAAACATTGCGGTTTTATTTGACCGGTACAGATTTCATGAACCGCAGTGAATAAAGGGAATCTATTGTATATAAAAAAAAAAAAAAAAAAAAAAAAAATATTTATTATAAAACTTTAGAAAATTGTTTTACATCATCGTTTTACTTCTCTTCCAATTTCTTGCTCTTCAGCATGTAATTGACTTCTTCAGCGGTAAGCGGTCCTTGAAGCTTCTGACCATTCAACAATTCAGCTTCTATCTCGGCCAATGTTTTGCCAGTCTTCACAAAAGCTTCAGCGCAGCGACGATTACGACCGCCATAGCAAGTGGTAATCAAATCGGCTATACCGCAGCTTTCGAAGAATGTTGTCAGTTTGCCACCCGGATACATGATTTCTACGAAACGTATCATTTCCATTAAACCTAAGCGAATGACAGCCGCCTTAGTATTATCGCCTAAGCCTAGACCATCTACAAAACCCGCCCCCATAGCCACCACATTCTAAAGGGAACGAAGAAAGCGTATGGTATGTGATCACAAACACAAAGGTCTCATATTAAGTCATGAACTAACCTTTAAAGCTCCACATATTTCTACGGCATCGGAATCCTGCACTACCACGACCCTAAAATTTTCTGATTGGAAGAGGTCACGTAATGTTTTGGCATATTTTGGATCACGACAACCGATCGTTGTCTCACAGAAATGTCCTTCGGCTACTTCATTAGCCAGATTGGCGCCCATTAATACCGCGCATGGTATATTTAAATGGCGCGTAATGATGTGCGAAATTAAATCAATACCCCCTCCTTCGGCTTTATCGAAACCCTTAATCAATGAAATGGCCAATGCGTTCGTCTTGATTTTGCCCAACAACATTTTACATTGACTGGGAATGAATTGATGCGGTACGACAAATATTAAAATATCAGCATTTTTGGCAGCCTCTACTAAATCAGGTACAGCAACCTATAGCAAAATTAAAAAGAAAAAAAAAAGCATATGTGCACAGTTATTATAGATCTTGTATACACCCTATACAATTTGTGGTACAAGGATATATTAAGTTTGTGTGGATGTATGCAACACCATGAAGAAGTTGAGATGTACCCATCTTTTATCATACAATTGATCTAAGCTTGTATGTCCGTCTTGCTTTCTTGTGCTCAAATATTTTGATGAAATTTGGTGCAGTGATGTACTTTGGCCCAATAATGACCTCTGTAACGTTTTATTTTGAAAAGTTGATGAATGAATAACTGTAGGGTGATATGGGGTATTCAAAGGGGGACCGCCGCTTCTCATTATACTCTTTTTACTTATTAACTAACAACAAACTGAAATGTAAAGTGCTACCGCCCACCGTATTAGTTACAGTAGCTAACGACGGCTGACAACTTGTAATTTGCTTATGTACATGAAACAACTTCTTATTGAACAAGCCTATGTTTACAGTGTTTAGTCAACAGATGATAGGCTATTGTCTACGTCAACACCATTTTTACTTATTTTTCTTTTTTACAAGGGTATCTACACTATGTGCGAGGGATTTAAGTTTCTGTTCATATTCCAAACATTAAAGAAAAAAAAATTGTAAAACAATTAAATTTTGAAACAGAATAGAAAATAGGATCAACGGTATAAACTTTGATAACCACGACCATCAATAATATATAGAAAAAACAAGATGCATTTGGGCTCATTACGTTATAATAACGGCCGAGGCCGACTGTTAAGTATCCGTCGCCGATATGCCTTTTTTTTCATAACAAGTCATACATGAGAAAAATAGATCAATGTGATCCAAATTTAGCACAATGAACTTATATGTCAATCAATTCTTCATTTTGTTTTCACTTTACTCCGAGAATACTTAAAAGATCTTATTTAGATCTCATTTCCTTATAGGGGTTTATTTTTCTTAAATACACTAATAGGAGTACGGGGTTGGAAAATGGATTTTTGTCAAGAGATTTTGTAACGTGAAATTTCTTTCGATATAATGACTTTTTCCAAAGAGGGCTTTATATGAAAAGTAATCGCAAAAATATCTTTTCTATGCTGTTCATCTGGAAAATTGGGGCCGATAGGCTAGACGAACAAATCTCTGGGAAGTAGTATTTACGTTCAAGTCGTTTATCTGCACCGAACTTATACTACATGGTAAAATGAATAACAACTTTATTGCTGGTTAGTATAAAAAGATGATCATTGTTCAGCGCTAAACATTTTTCTTTAAACGAAGTTATTAATAATTTCTCAAATGAAGTTTGCCCACGCTATTGATGTATATATTTACACATTTATGTATACATATACCATGCACTTGGCTATTGAGTTTTATTATATTTATTATCTTACGTTGTATCATAGGAAAGCACTTGAGATATTATATATAAGTTATATATATGAAAAATTGTTATCTGGAGGTAATAAAGATTTCAGTAAAAATGCGGCTAATACGGAAATACTATTACCCAGAGATCTCGGCGAGACAGAAGACATTATATTGAGTTTGCCGTAAAAGTGATCTGATCTGAATGATTATAAAAACACTCCGTCGTTGAATGAAAAACACATGAAGCTCTTTGAACAGATGGACATAAATGATTAAATCGATTCGCAAAACGGTTCTGAATCGATTGGTATAACAAGAGATGGGTCTATTTTAAGCTTTTGGGCAAGCGACGTAGAGAACAAAAAGTTATTCAGATGTTTTAGAAGCGTTGAACTAGTTGTATCACTCTTGAAGCAGACTTTGCCGATGAATGAGGAACAGCCCGTCGGACATATAAACTCACAGATCCTATACGTCTTGCAATACGAAAGCCGCACCCGCCTATCGGTTTACAATTTTTCTTTATTTCCTTTTACTTTACAACAAGATTTCTATTTTTCTTAGTCTAAAGTATCCTTGAACTGATGTGTCTGGGGTGAAAATGTAAAACATTATACCGATCCGTGATAACGCAATAAAAATATAAAACTTCTGTGTACATCTATATAAGTATGTACATATATGCATACATAAAATCAAATCTTTAAGTATAACATATTCATTATGACATAAATAATTTCCTTTCAAAATTATAAAAATGAATTTTTTCTCCGACCAAAGGTCTTTGAACTCATTGAACAAAATATTGATGCAAGCTGATATTATGTTTGTATATTTATCGCTGCTGTGACAATTAAACGCAAACATAAGCATAATAAAAATTCTATAAAAAAATTATGATAATAACGATGACGATGATGAAGCGCAAAAGTCTTTCCAAACTTAATTAAAAATTCATTAATAAACAAGTTTTTTTTTAATCTTTCGTTGTTACACGTGTCATTTATTACTTTTGTACGCGCGTTTCATTTTTGAAAATTTCAAAATTTTCGATAATAATTTTAATGATTATTTGTTGAAAATATTATGTTTTTCGAAAAAAAAAAAAAAAAAAGTAATAGATTGCATATGGAAAGACGGCAAAGCATGAAGGGCTTCTGCATTTTGTTTATGCCGCTAAACGACCTTGACCTACAGATAAAAGTATTATTATTATTACGCTCTTTTACATGTGCACCTATATGATGAAGAATGCCAATGAAATTATATTTAGATCTCTCTAATACCCACGTAATAAACAAGAGAGTCATCGGAAGAGCAAACAAAAAAAAAAAAACAAAAAAAAAAGCAACAGAAATTTACAAACCAAAGCGAAAGAGAAATTGAGAGAATTTACTCTGTTGCGCTAGAGATGCAACAAGAGAAAGTATTTGTAGTGCGAGAATATAAACAAATTATATTGCATTTCGGACAGAATACCCTGCAAGCATTTAATTGATAATCAGTAAAAGTCAACGTTCTCTTCTTAAAATTTGTATACAAATGATCTCTATTGAGACAGTATTTTGTACAACATTTCTCTTATTAATATTTTTCAAGTGTTTATTTAACATATGGCAGAGCATTTTCATATGAAAATTTACTTGAAAAAATATATACTGAAGAAGACAATTTATGCAATTTGTTTCCTTATCAGAAATAGAAAATGGTGTTTTGTTTTCTTGAACATTCATCCTAACATATATCTACGTCCTTCGTAATAAGCAAGCTGTAAATCTCTGTCATCTGGCATATCTCCTCCACTTCTTAGTAATTGGGAAAAAGTATTCAGGCAAAAAGCTATTTAAGGTTATTTTACGATATTTTTTCACCATATTAACAATCTTAAACATTTATATCAAATTTCATATGGATGAGATATTAATAGAATCATTATTATCTTTCCAATTAGTTATATAAATGACAAATGGCTTTCTGACTACTACTTCTCTCTCTCTCTTGCAAAAGCAAGCAGCAAATGGTTCTTGTTGATGCCCTGTAATATATGTACGTGCTATGGATGCTGGATTCTATAGCAAAGATAAGGAAAAAGTTAACATAATTCCCTCTTCTCTATAATAATTGTCGAATTGATTTTTTGTCAAATTAGACATCTATGATGTCTTCAAGCAAGTCGAGGAAAAGATAAAGGATAACAAGATGTAGTTAAAGTGAAGATTTTTCTTTAAACACAATGTCACTCATTAGCAGATAAAGTTTTTTCTTCACTCTATGTGCTGTAGTAAGACAAATAGAATATTCTTGCGATTAGTTCATAAACTGCTTTCTAAAAATGAAACAACGCAGTAGTTTGTTAAAGAAACTATACGAACACTATATTGCGGTTGAAGCCGGTTTCAGCCTTAAAATAGTCACAAGAATTCATTTAAATTGCAAAATGTAAATAGTTAAACTTTTGCGATAATAAGCGTATTTTTAAGGGGAAAGGCGGATTAGGGAAGCTTAGCTTGGAAAACCAGCCAAACAATTGAAGGTAATAAATATTTTCTTCACTTCAATAGCTAAGTTTTCTGAAAGCATTTCTACGTCTCTTTAGTGAAAGTGCATTCTCTTGTGTACTCAATGTCAATGGTTGTCAATGATTAGATAATGCTTGATGAAGAGAAGCAGGAAGAATTAAAAAAAAAAAACAAAAAAAAAATAATAATAAATTGAAAAATAAAAAGATAAAAACCATAACGAAAAAAACAAATAAATATAAAGCAAAACAAAGCTTTCCGTGACGATGAACTAATGAATGTTAATAAGTACGTTCACTGGGTGGTATAACAAGCAAATGCATTGCGAAAAGAGAGCAGAAGGGAGCGAGCGGGAGAAAAGTTAAATAAGAATAAAATCAATTTATTTGTATATAAAAAGATAAAAAGTTACTTGCATTGCTTTTTATACTTTTTTATATATTTAATTAAAAAAGTACCGGAAATCATCGTATTTCTTATTATCATCAATATTCATACGATCAATAATTCTATATGCACTATCCAGTTAAAATGCTACTCGTATATCTTTCAGCCTTAACTAAATAATTGAAGCAGGTCTTATAATTTTTCCATGATCGTTTTGAATTCCTTTATTAGTGGATTCATCGGGAGATCTGAGTGTTGATACTAGAACGAATTCACAAGAAGACCATAGTAATGATATTAGACTCTTCTTGCTAGTCTTACTAAGGCATAAAGCCAGACGAAAATACCCCAAAGAGAAGACATGTCAAGCTTAAGTGACAAACTTCTAATATCTAGGTTTTTACAATTTCTCTTCTTACAATTGCCGTTTATAACCGTCAGCTAATTCGAAGTCATTGCTATAATCTGCACTTAAGGCTCAAATTTAAGGACAAATTCTTTGTTCTTTGAAATAAAAAATAATGAGACAACATTCTTGCACAAAAATTATTTCCCGAATGGACTTTTAGAAAGTAATTAGCAGTTCTTCGAATGATTGAAGGGAATTTTGTAAGCCTTTTACCGTAACTTTTTTGACAGAGGGTGTCAGGAAATATATGCACTACTTAGGAAAAAGAAAATATTTCGTGATATTTTCTTAATATTATTTAAATTAAGAAACCCGTGTATATATGTACATAATACATATACACATATACATGTTCAGATGTGTATATATATAAATTGTTTAGCATATTTAGTATATATAGACGAAGATAACCTATATAATAAAAACAGTGTCATAAAAAACAATTGTCTCACATATTCCAAGAGAGGCAGACACCTGTTGTTGTGCCTGTTCGCCTGAGCTTTTATCAGTAATTAAGTCATTTAAAAATGCTTTCTGCCTCAATTAATTTGTTTACAATATTTCCCGATAACGCGTTTCCACACATAGAGAATAGACTTTGCTTTATGATGAAAGCCTCTATATAAAATTTTTAATTTTTATTAGATTAAAGTTATAAAACTTACCACATTTGCTGGTAATTTATGTCCAGGTAAATATTTAACATTCTCATGCGAGGTATTAATGATTTCTGTTAACTTTTTCCCATCGATCATCTCTTCATATACGTACATAGTGACACGATCTTCAAATTCGGGCAAAGCAGCACAATTGGCACCAACAATTTTTGCTATAGCCGAACCCCTAGAATAATTAAAAAGTTTTTTTTTTTTATTTTTTAACAATTTCTTAAGCAGATAAAAAAAAACAAAAACTTATATAATTTTAATATAATATTTTCTATTTACCAATTACCGGATCCCACGATGCAAACATTAGTTTTTTCAGACATTTTTTTCGAGTTTTTCTAATTGAAATAAATTTAATAAAGTTAGACGTTACAAAAAAAAGTTATTGTTGTTATAATTTTTTGAGCATAACTCACACTATCCCCTTCTATTTGCTAATATTACGAACGTTATTAACGGCCAAAGCAATCAACTAAGACTGATTATATTATTGTAGGCAAAGAAAGAAAAAACAAAAAAAGACTAGCGGCTGCAATTGTTGCTGGTTGAGGATTCGCTTTTAATACTAAAAGCAAAGAGTACTCCTTCTTTACTCAGCTAACAAAACTCTCTTTTAAACAAATTTTTCTTTTATTCTCTCTTCGAAAAAAAATCCTCTTTCTCTTAATCACTTTTCTAATGTGTTTGTTGTTGCGGTTGATAATCATTTAATTTGTTAAGATTAACGGATAATATTTTTTTTCTTTATGAATAAATATACACAAATTTCATATAAATTCACTTTTCTCTTATTTATTAAATTAAAAGGATTTTTCTATTTCACTAGCTATCGTATAAATGTAACCACATGTTATCGTCGTTTGTCTTCAGCGATGCTACCGCTGAAAAAACAACACAAATATTTATGATTTACTTATTTTCTTTTATATGTTTTAAGATTCATGGAAGGAACAGGCAAATTTCAGGTTGCCCTGCTTATAGTCGAAAATTTTTCTTTATAAATAATTTTGCAGAAATTTCTATTCGAGTATTTTGTTGTCTTTAGTAAATTCTATTTTTAACTAATCATTTTGTTTTACTGTGTAACAACACGACAAATACACCACGGTTGCCTTTAAAGTATTAATTGTAATAATGAATTATTAGCAGTACGATAAAACGCAACTTTTCTTTAAGGGACAGAGTGACATCATGAATGTTTTTATCGATTAAGAAGTCGTATAAAAGATTTATGTCTCATTCAAAAATCTCTAGCAAAAGACGTTCATTAACCTTGTTTACTCTTATAATAGCGGAAACAGTTTTCGTAAAAAACAATCATTCATTTTTTCTAAGTCAGTTATTTTAATAGTATGTTAACACAGTGACTTTTACGAATCGTATGCATTTGCATTGTATTTAAGTCATTATCTCTTATATATTCTGCTATAGTTTGCTATGAGGATTTTAATTTTTATTTGTTTTTTATTTCCTAAGCAAACATTTAAACTCAAGCAAAACAATGTTACTTTATCGACCATTAATTTGGCACAAAATCAGGTATGTTAAGTCGTACGGTACAGGCAAAAGTCATTGCGGCTGCGTTTGTTTGGTTTGGAATCCGTTATCTTTTATAATTTTTGGTCCATTTGAAATGCCATCCAAATCGATTTGAATTCACTGAAAGTGTATACACGCGATAGGAAGAGACCTTGTAGATATTCTCGATTTGACATTTAAAGGAATAAAGAATACTTTTGTCAAAGTAATACTTAAACTTTTTCTTTGCGTTTCACATTTCGTAGCACATTTTTGAGAACTAAGTATCAGGAGGCCCTCTCAGCAATTCCAAAGTTTAATGCTTGAAAAGAAAAAACAACGGACTCAGACTTATACAAGGCGCACATTTACTTTCGTTTCTCTGCTCTATCTCTTTTCGATTTATTGATTTAGAAAAGATTATCTTTTATTTGATTTTACGAACTTTGGAAACGGTTCGGATCGGACCACTTGCCATATAACGCCTTATATAGATAACTGTAAGGTAGTATGGGGTTTTTAATAATGGGTTGTGCGTCGTTATAGTGTTTTTACTTTCATGTTTATTATTAAGTTTTTTTCACTCACCACTTCAATCACCATACTTGCTTGTTTATGAGTACTTGGATTAATTGTGCATTTCTTCGCAAAATTACGAGTTAATATTAAACGGAAAGTGGAAGTACTGGATGACTTTTTCAACAAACTATTAATAGTAATCGCACCATTCTCGGAATAAGGTCGGCTACTAATTTCGTTACCGTTTTGCATAAAACAACAGCATACAAATTTCGAATTTTGGGAACGCGTAGTCGTTAATAAGTTATGGCGAAGTACTATACCAAGAGAGGCCATGATTATGGGCGCTGTTTTCTTATATCCAGGCATTTTTACATATGGTCCGAAATTGTATTCTTTTAATTTTTCAAATTTTAATTTTTTACTCTAAAATTAACACAACTAACAAAAGCTACTCTCCACTTTTTAATCGAAAATTGAATACCCATCACCGCCTGCCTCCTAGCGATAATAATAAAATTAAAAGTATAATTTCTTCTTAACCCATTAGAGACACTATGGAAAGTTTTGTCTACATTTTCTATAGAAAATGTCAAAATAGAACGCATGCCACGGGAATGCTTAGAAACACGATAATCTGTCGAGCGAAAGCTTTTTACGCAATGTCTTTTAAAATGAGGAAAATGTTGTTAAAGGGTTAATTTACAAAAAATCAAAATACTTGAATTTGACTTGCTTGAAACTTAAGAAAAATTTTGAACATTTTCGAAACCCCTCTAGGCTTTTTGCGCGCATATGGTCCGAATTTAGTCCTGAGTAATTTACATAAATCTTTTTCTCTTTCCATCTGTCCACCAATCGCGCGTATTCTTGGCAAGCTTGAAAATTGAAGTCAATTTAGTTTAAATTCATTTGAGATGCAATAGGAAAATGTATGCGCAAAACACTGCCACTAAAATCAGTTATGTTATTCGTTTGTGTATTGAATTCCCATAATATTATTCTCTACACATTTACTTTCCCAAATTTGAAAGCCGAATGAACCGATTAAATTATTTTTATATTACATTTTTATATTTTAACAGAAATTTTGAATTTTCTTAATGAATTTTGTGTTTTCTGATTAAATTTTATTCTTAACTGACTTTTTTTTTTTTTAAATAATTGACAAATGTACAGAGTTGCTATTTGTAAATTAGAAAAAAGTATTTATATGAATCTGCTATCATTTAAAATTGTTTTGCGAACTAATAGTGCCCTGTAACGTTATTTTATCTTAAGGGGAAATAAGAACATTAAGAGAGAGATGAGGTGATGAAAAGAAACCAAAATTTAATTTGCTTGCTTGCTTTCTTGAAAGGGAAAGGGAAGGCCTTTCACTATCCGCCCTACCTAACGGTCTCCTTCGGCTTCTGACTTCTTTGGGAGACTCCCCTAATCTAGTATCCTCTTTTTTGTAAGCGAAATTGGATGAAGCGTAGACTTAAACTCCTTGCTTGAAACCAATTCCAATGAAGTGTTTAGTCTACAATTAGAACTAAGCCGGCAGCGTCTTCTATCTGTTTATATGTGAAAAGGTTTGCTTTCTAGAAACCCAAACACACACTTAGTACACTCCAAGTCTGCATGTAGTGGGCATGAAGTAATTCGATTATTAGGTCTCTTCCACACATTAAGATCAACATTATGCTCCCATTTCAGTTGATTTATGGATCACTATAAGCCTTACTGTACCTTCGTCCATTATACTGTAAGTGCTTGCCATAGACTGTAAGTGGTGTGCTTCATATCTTTCTTTGTGATCCTCTCCATATTCTAATTTCATTTCAAGCATACGTATTGACTTGATTATTATGAAAATGATGTAATATGCAATTGACTCTGTTAATTTCATAAACGCAAACATATTTACAATATTATTAATAGCGAAAGTTTGCATTTCCCAAATATTAGAGAATTTGATTTTTTCTGATGATGATTTTTTGTCTGCAAATAAAGAAATCGTCAAATCAAGTTTTATCTATCATTTTATCATTATCTTCATTTTTTCTACGAATGAATTTGCCTGACTGTCAAAATGTAAACAATGTATGAATCGTTCTTACGATTTTTATCACTTTAACGAACCGGATAAGTCCAATACATACATTGTAGAGAATGTCATACTTGCGATTGCTGATATGTTTATGCATTTTAAATGCAAACTTGATGAATAATACTTTATAACGCGTAAATACTTTCTAAGCAAGTCTTAAATTCTAAGCTTAAGCAGCAACTTATTAACTTAACATTGTTTTCATTGCAACAAAGAAATCCACTGTGAATAGTTTGTAGGTTTAATAAAAATATTAATAATATTGATATGCGTATGAAAATAATAATCCGAGCATGCACGCATATATATGCGCACACAAACACACATCTTCATAAATATATGAATTTATTTTCAGATGCATACATACGTGCATCTTATTGAAATAGAAAAAAAAACAAGCTGGTAAATATACATAAGAAGAAAAAGCTAAAAACGCAAATTGCTTCCTAGTATCGAAAATGTCAATAGAAAACAAAAAAAACCTTTAAGCGGAAATAGAAAACTAATCAAAAATTTACTTAGAAGGTAAATTTTTAAAAATATGTTTAAAAATATTTTATATGTAAATTATTGAACTCAATTTATTTGTATGGAATATGGGTGAATGATTTCAAACACGAGATAACCGCGTTATTATTAATTTTAAGTTGTTTGTTATGTCCACGCAAACAGACGTTTGTTGATGTTGTCGATGTTATGCATTGTTATGATATGTTCATGACACGCTAATATATATTATCGTCGCTACTTCCGAAGAAAGGTGCATTTGCACAGTACTCGTAATTTTGCTCTATAAGTTGAACATCATTTTGTCACACATTTGACACACGGCTCGATATACTTGGAACACAAACCACCTCCAAAAATACATAAAAGTATAAGAAACTTACATATGTAGATAGCAAGGATATGGACTAAAAAAGTATAAATAGTCGATGGAATCATTGGAGAAAACGATGTGGGAAAGCCAATTAGTCCAAATAATTTTGCGGCTATTAAGCTCATACATATTCAAAATTCATACCAGAGCAGATATAATTTTTCTTTTACTTTTAGGTCAAAAGGCAGTTTACCAAAGAAAATCAAAAATACTTAAGTAATAATAAATAATTAATCGAGTAAACGTAAAGCCGCCCATGGTTCCGTTAATTGTTGGTGAATACCTCCACCAAACGAAATCATCTCTATATCAAATTTGTTTTCTAATTTGGCGAAGGAGTTTTCTAGTATTTTCCTATATATAGATATTCTCTTACATTTATAATGAGAAGTGAACCTCGAAAATATATTGGAAGACTAAACTGATTCGCTCCGTTTTCTTATCGTCAAAATGGCATTTATTTCAGGACAAAATTGATAGACAACCAACTAATAAAAGTATTATCCATGGCTCTTAGGCAATTCTTGAAGGCAATGCCAAAAATATTGTTTCGTTTTTCGCGGCTATCCCCAAAGATCGCCACAGGAGCAAACAAAAAATCAACCACTGAAACCCGTGTTAACTGAAAGTAGAAACCACTGCTGATAACAGCGGGGAGAGTGAGATATTCAAGCTTAGATCTGGAAATACTTCCTGAGC